TCTCCCAGGTTGCTGTTTCTCTTTCCCTCTTTCTCCCTCCCTTCTCGTCTCTAAAAACAAATCAATAAAATTTTTTTTTAAATAAAAGAAAGCAGTCCTTGGCATCCAGGAGCTGACCTGCTGCTTCCAGCTGGTGGGCCTTGGAGTCGCTGGGAGCTGGCCTGGCGCTCACAGCTGGGTCTCGAGGTTCCAGCAACACCAGACATGGCCAGTCTGTGACCATGGTGGATTAAGAAAAGAATAAACTCGCTCCAATCATATCTGAAAACAGACAAAACCAACATTGTCCAAGCTGTAAAATCCCAACTATCTCCCTACACCAGCCAGTTTGAGGGACTGGTGCTGTTTTACTAATTATAACTTTAGGCTCGCTCTGGTTTGCCCTCCCTGTGAATAAGAGGTATTGAGATACTCACAGAATTTGCTCCACTTTCTGACAACACCCAAACTATAGTGAACCCTCTCTTCTTATACCTTCTCCAAAACCACTCAATCAAATCTCAATTCCTGTAAGTCTTGTCTAATACTTTTTACTGAGCTGCCCTGCAGTTCCCCATGGTATATGTTCTCTCCTACTGCAATGAATTATAAACCAAACTTGTTCAGCTACAGGAGTGTTCCTGGTGGCCTTTGGCTGAAAAGCACTTCAAACACTAAAGATTATGGAATATAAATAAATTTGTGTCCAACTGAATTAAACTGAATCATTATACTGGCAAAGTTTTTATTTCAATAGTAATTATATTTATGGTGTGCATGTTTTGTAGTAATCTAAAGTTAATTTCCAAATTCTTTAACATAAAACATTGGATTAATATTGTTCATTAATGGATAATCACTGAATACCTAGTTCACTTCTAAGTAATGTTGAATATTTAATCGATGGTTACCACTAAGCATGGTTTTAAGTGTATATAGTTTTAATTTTATTTTTATATGCTATAGAGAGGCGATAACTTTGGGTCATGTTAATGAATATGTTCACTTTTTCTACTTTAAAGGAAGTTGAATAAAAGATATATGGCCATAGAAAATTGCGTGTATGTATTCATGAGCTTTGCTAGTCTGCGAACATTTTAATGCTCCTGTACAACAAGCAATTCTCTTTTATCCAGCCCTCCAGTTTTCTCTGGGCAATAGAAGTTAGTTACTTTGGTTAGAAGTTAGTCATTACACCCCTGGCTGGTGTAGCTCAGTGGATTGAGTACAGGCTTGTGAACCAAAGGGTCACCAGTTCAAATACCAGTCAGGTCACAGGCCTGGGTTGTGGACCAGGTTCCCAGTGGGAGGTGTGTGAGGGGCAATCACACATTGATGCTTCCTGATTTCTCCTTCCCTTGCCCACTCTCTAAAAATGAATAAATAAAACCTTTTAAAAAAGTTAGTCAATATAAATGCTTCAGACCATTCTAGTAACAATAGTAACAAAGTAATACAACTATGTACGTCCTTTTGCTTTTCAAGAAAAAAAATTATTTTTGGCCTAAAGCAGAACTCCTCAGGTTTTTGGTCTTTAGATTCCTTTACATTTATTTGTACTTCTATACTAGAAATTGAAATAAGTAAACTTTAAATACCTTTTTATTGATTTATTTAAAATTAGCAATGATGAATCTATTGCATGTTAACATAAATAACACCTTGGTATTATTATAAAATAATTTCGGTCTCATATACCCAAGAGAGAACCACTGCCCCAAATGTTTCTAAGGTGTTAGTTTGTCCCAAAATATTAAAGAGCACAATACAAGATAAAAACTCAAAAATTTAATTTTATTTGACTTGTATTTTCTTAGTCCATTTGTCTACCATAGCAAAATACCATAGACTGGGTATTTTAAACAACAGAACTGTCTGCTTATAAACAACAGACACTTATTGAGTAAAGTTCTGGAGGCTGGAAAGTCCAAGATCAAGGCACCAGCGTGTTAGTTTTTTTTATCTTTTTAAAAATATATATTTTATTTATTTTTAGAGAGAGGGGAAGGGAAGGAGAAAGAGGAGAGAAACATCGATGTGTGGTTGCTTCTCATGCGCCCCCTACTAGGAGCACAACTTGGGTCACAACCCAGGCACGTGCCCTGACTGGGAATCGAACCAGCGACCCTTTGGTTTCCAGGCTGGTCCTCAATCCATTGAGCCACACCAGCCAGGGCTAAGTTCCTTACCTTTAAATTTTGATTGTATTCTGTGGTTTGACTTAGCTTGTGGTTTCAGTTAAAGGCTAATTCCATAGCGAAGGAAAATGCCAATCCAACTCATAGCCCTGGAACCCACATCTGAGATTAGACCTGTTGACTTGTCCAAGCATGTCAGTTCAGAAACCGGCTACGGTCCAGTCAGAGTCCCAGCCAGTACTATCTCAATACTACGCGGTCACCAAAGCTGAACTGACACAGACAGACAGCCATGTTGTCTTTAGCTAAGAGACTCACCCAACTCAGCACATGGTTATGTGCCTGTCCAGCTCGAATAGAAACCCTGACTCACCCAGGTTACAACCAAAGGCTGGTTTAGGATAGCCTGGAGCCCAGAATATGCTAGCTTATTCCTAGACCCATTCGGTCCTTAATTTACTCAACAAATATAATAATACTTCTTGGAGGCCTTCTAGGTTCTAGGCACTGTGGTGCATGTGAATGCTTCTCTGGACATGGGAGGATTCCCGAGTCTTGTGTCACCCTAGTGACCCATCACAAATGCAGGGTCCAGCTTCTCTTCCTATTGTAGTCAACACTTCCAGGCCAGTGTCATTAGATAGATTTTCACAGATTTTTCTCATGACGACATAATCTGCTCCATCCCCTTGGACAAGTTTTTGTTGCATCAGAGTGTATCCCATCGTGGTCCCACCCCACAACCATTTGACCTGGCCTGTTCCTGTGCCTGCTTATTACCATTCATGCAACGAATATTCATCGCAGGCCCTGGATGCACAAAAATGCTACCTTTAGGAAACTCACATTCTTGAATTCTACCAAAGGAGGTTAATAAATTAAAAAATATATACTGCAGTTTTGTAATAAAGGTAAGCATATGAGTTCTGTAATAAACATATGTTTAAAATTTTATGAGAGCCCAGTGGAGGAGTTGTTTGAAATTGGGAGGGTGAGGCATGGGGCTATGCTGCTTTTGGCCAAAAACTGCTGAACACTCAGAGTGGTGTGGGCTCATAACTCACCCTTGATGAAATGGGCAAATGGGTTGGAAGAGTCTTAAAAAAAATTCACTGAAGCCTAATGCAGCCTCTTACATCAATGCCAGTTGGTACACTGATACAGATGGGTTTCTAGATCGCCCCCCTAGTGGGGGAAGCTTGTACTACAGGGGACCCGCCCTCCAGCAGATAGTTCCCATGGATTTTTCGGATCCCTCCTGTTCACACATACACACACATACTAATTATTAAGGAGAATAATGAAAAGGAGTGGAGAGAAATTTCCTCAATTGAGTGGGTTTTTCTTAAGCAGTGCCACTTGAGTTCTGATGAATTTCCCAACCATGTAAAATACAGGGGAAATGGTGGTCTACTGAAGTCAGTACAGCTTGGGCAAAGGCCTTAGCTGAGAATGGTTTCTAAGCAGCTGTAAAAAGGGTGTGTTTTTTTTATTTTTAGTTTTATTATATTCTCCTTTTCAAAGATCTGTTTTAAAGGTTTATTTGAGAGAGAGGGGAATTGAGAAAGAGGGAGAAACATCAAGAGAGAGAAACATCAGTCAGTTGCCTCCTGCGTGTGCTGGAACAGGGACGGCACCTGCATCCTACACATGTGCTCCCTGACCAGGAAGTGAAACTAGGAAGTGGAATGGTGAGGTGTAGAGGATGATGTTCCAACCAGCTGAGCCCTGCCTGAGCCAGGCAGGGTGAGCCAGGGTGAGCAGGGTGGTATTTTAAAGATTTATTTATTTGTAGAGAGAGGGGAAGGGAGGGGGAGATACATCCATTGGCTGCCACTTGCATGTGCCCCAACTGGAGACCCTGCCACAACCCAGGAATGTGCCCTGACCAAAAATTGAACCAGCGACCTTTTGCTTTGCAGGATGATGCTCAACCAAGCCACACATGTCAGGGATGAGGAGGGTGGTATTTTAATCCCTATATTGGAGACAAGGAAACCGAGGTACAGAGTTGGTTTGCGATAGAGTCCAGTTTTGCAACACAGGCAGTCTGGTTCCAAATTGGTGCACTGGGCTGCTACTACCTTCTATTACTTCTTGATGAGAAGCTACCATTACTAACATATGCAACAGGTTCTGTACTGGTTTTTCTGGAATGTTATCTCATGTAATCTTCAATAACAACTGTGAAATAGATGATACCATTTCACAAAGGAGAAAACTAAGGCTCAGTGAAGTGTTATTATTTAGCAGATTTAAGCTTTGATACCAGCCTCAGGGCTCCGAAAGGTTCTCTAACCCTCGAGCCACTGAAATCTATGAGCCTCATTTTCCCCATCTTTAAAATGAGGGTTGTGGAGTACATGTCTCAGTTCTATCAGGGCGTAGAGCTAAGAGACATGTCTGCAAATGGGTGTGAAAGAAGATGGAATGCATCTGTGCCTTTTATTAATGCTAAAGGCTGTCAAGCCACAGTGGCCGAGGGCGTAAAGGAGGTGAGTGTGGAATAGGTTTGGGGGCGTTAGACTCAGACGAGGCCTTTGGGCGAAAATGGGCCTGATAGCCGGTCTCTGACCTCTCTGGGCGCTGCCGACGCGAGCCAGCAACCAAGGGAGGCCCGCAGAGTACAGCACCTTACTCGCCCAAATCACGCTCAAAAATAGCTAAAGAAGGAAGGGGCGCGGCTTCTCAGCTGGCGTAGCAGAGCGCCACGTCCCTCTTGGCTGAACCTCCCCCGGGCTTCTTTGCAGCACACCAAGCCGCCCCGGTCCAGCCCAGTCTTTTTTTTGGCCTCCGCCAATCAGCGCCTTTTGAGATCCAATCTAACCAATCAGCGGCTTCCTAGAGGCGGGGGCTGTCGCCATGGCAGCGAGGAGGCGGGAGCGCATCTTGGGCAAGAGTAGGGAGCTGAGCTGAGAATTGGGAGCTGGCTAGACAGGTCTGTGTGCTGCAGGCCCTGCAGGCATTCGGCTGGCGGAACCTCGCGGGTCCAGAAGGTTGGGGCTAGGGAAGGCTGGTGACCTCGAGGTGGGTGCAGATCAGTACCGCGGGAGGCCGGGGCAGGTCCTGAGATAAGGCTTAGATCTCCTCTGTTTGCCCGGGCAGTGATGGTGTCTGGGGCTGTACTGTGGGCCGGCATGTGTGGGAGGGGGTTCCAGCTCCATCCTGAGGGGGGGGGGCGGTCCTTTCCTCCGCTCCACTCGCTCCAGGGCACCCAAGCTTTCTCAGGGGTCAGTGAGGATGAGTGGCTCCAGGCGAGGAGCTGGCGAGGGTGAGTGCAGAACTGAGACCCGGGTGGGGTTACAGGCTGGTTTTGGCAGGTCCGATGGGCAAGGGAGTTGCCAATTGTTGAGGAGGGTGTACCCAGTAATTCCTGGCCGATGCTCACCTCCTCACCTCTTACCCCCGACCCTCGCTGCCAAGCAAAGCTCGTCCGGTGAAACCTGCTTTGCTCATGCTGTTAAGCTGTCAGCCCCCAACATTGAGAAGAGGTGAAAGTTCTTGTCAGTTGTTACTGTTTTCCCTTAAGTAACATATCATTGAGCGTGAAGGTGAGCTCTTTCGATTTCAGAGTATATGAAAGCGAAAGAGCTCATCTATTTGCATCTGCTATGTGGTAACTCAGTGAGCAAATGTGGTTATTGTGGCTGGTGCTGCCCACTAAACTCCTACATTGGATAATGTACGTTTTACACAATTGAATAAGTAAGTGCTGCCTGCCATCTGTGCCTTTTATTAAGGCTGTTAAATCCATGGGCGAATATGAACACCAAATGATAAATACCTTGTTTTAAAAAACGTGGAGGGACTACAGTATTTGAGATCTGGCTTCCTGGTTATGGTACTCAATTTGACTCAAATAAATTCATTAAAAAATTTTAAACTATTGAGGGAGTGCAAGTTTAAATGCCAATATTTCTGATAGGTTTGTTGGAAGAAGATTGTGGATTTAGAATTGATGAGACAGTTGTTTAAGGAATTTTTAAAGTCATATGACCCGTGGTATTACAGATTTACATCAGAATATCTATAGTTTCTTTTACAACTTATATAAATTATTTGTTTCTTGAGGCTTTCCCTGGTCAATTCGGTTGAATGGAGTCAGGCAATATCCAGATTCTAGCATCTTGCCCCTCATAGAAATTGTCTCAGGATTCGTCCTAATTTAAGCTGAGTGTGAGTTCTTGTTTTATAAAATTTGAACAAGTTCAACAAAGTTGAACAAACAAATTTTCAAGAAATATTCTTCAATTAATAGGGTCGACAATTAAAAACAAACATGGACATTTAGAATTAGAAGTGAAATCGCAAATAACATCGCTCTTATTATTAGGGTGAACATTAAACTTATATTTCTCATTTTGGTCTGTAAACTCTATGATCTGGTCCAACTTTGTAATATGAGTGAAAAAATGTATTTCTGTCTTCTTGTGCTTACTCATGCTATCCTCCAGCATCTATACTAATTTTACCCATCTTGCAAGTTGGGCCCATGCTGTGTTTTCCTTTCTCTGATTTCCTTGAGATAGTTATTATTCGTATCACACATTTTGTATATACCCGTTCAATATGCTTTTTGCTAAGACTGTTTGTGGTCTTCAAAGACTAGTTAAAATGTAACCTACAATTAAAGCAATAAGGGTACCTTTCAAAATACTAGTTATTGATTATGGGCGTTAACATAGATTATCAGTAACATGATTAACAACAGTGTTTTTTTGTCTTGGAATATGTTTGTATATTTCTATACTAAACCAATTTTGTGTTATTTAGAATAATATCTAAATTGCTTTTAACTTTTTAAGGACCCTTTGGATGACTTAGCTGTGTAAAATACCCTTGTAAGTATTGGGTAGCTACAGGAATCCAGTGTAGGATTTAAAAATGTATTTAAAATAATCCTTAAAGTAGATAATCTTTTAAGTATTTTGAGTAATTAAGTTGACTATATTTAGCATGATACATGATTAACTTTTTCTAAATAATTAAAGGTCTAGAAGGAGGAAGCTTGTTGTTTTTATGTTTAATACATGCAACTAGTTTATAGACTTAAAAAAACAGGCTCTTAACAATTTCAAATAATTTATTAGGAAAAAGAAAAATGTCAATCACTTTAATATTTTCACTCTAAAAAAAATCTTAAAAAAAAACCTACCATGATATGGTGAAAGTATACTTAATTAGAATTCTATGGCCAGATTTCAATCCTGGCTCTGCCAAATGATCTTGGCCAAATCAGTTACCTTCCCTGTGTTTTATAAACTTTTATAAAAGTAGGGTCTCAACCAAACTACCTCCAAAATTCTCGGTCCCAGAATTCTCAGGATTTAAAAATGTCAAAGCAACCTAAGGGACACTGAAGAAGCAGTTGCATGCTTCTGTTGTATTTTTGGCAGAACTTTTCGACATATTGTATTTTAGTTATCTGAAGTAAGTTTGTATAAATAATGAAGACATTGTGATTTTTTAAAAAGTTTTTATGAGAGAAGGGAAAGGAGAGAGAAAGAGAGGGAGAGAAACATCAGTGTGTGATTGCCTCTTGTGCGCCCCCAAGTGGGGACCTGGCCTGCAACCCAGGCATGTGCCCTGACTGGGAATCAAACCAATGACTCTTTGGTTCCCAGGCAGGCACTCAGTCCACTGAGCTACACCAGCCAGGGCTGAAGACATTGTAATTTTAATAAATTTGTTTATTGAGTGATACAAATAAGCAACAGTATCTACTTTTCATAGCCTATTATCAAGGATACTGTAACTGATTGTTAAGTGGGGAAAAAAGGTCATGTACCAGTTTTCTTGATTGATATCCTTTTCTACAAATATAAGCATCAGAGACAGTAACATCCATACTGATGTCTTGATTCAGGGAGGGGTTGAAGTTCAATTTAGCTGGTATTCTGTTTTGAACCTCACTTTCCCATTGACTCTCATTTTCACAGGGAAAAGTGGACTTGAGTATCAAGTTACCAATTGTTACCACTGCAATTGAGAAACCCAGGAGCCATTGTTTTTCTCCACCCCCCTCCTTTTTACTGTTAGGATTATGACACCGACAGTAAGAAGAAGCAACGTGTTTCTTGGCTCAGGGCAATGCCTTGGAGGAAGAAACCGGGGCCTCTTGAAAAAGATCTGTTTTAATGCCAGGGCGGAAGAGGCTGTGTTCCTCTTTGGTTGGATGTATTCTTTTCATTGCCCGATAGCTGCATAAGGACTTTGTTTGTGGTGGTGCTTGGAGGAGAGCTCTAATGTGGCCCTTCATAAAATGAAATTTAGCCCTGGCGGGTTGCTCAGTTGGTTGGAGTGTTGTCCCATACACCAGAAGGTTGCAGGTTCCATCCTGGGCCAGAGCACGTATGTAGCCAACTGATGTTTCTCTCTCACATCTATGTCTCTCTCTCTCTCTCTCAAATCCATAAAAGATCAGTAGAAGCATATCCTCAGGTAAAAATTTTAAAAAGCTATTAAAAAAGACATTTAAAGGTTGTATGTCAAACTGATTTATTGCTTTTTAACTTTGTGTGTTTACTGCACAGATTTTTATTATTTCAATATTATAGCTATTTCATTTTCAAGACAAGAAGGGCATTACTATTTATCAAGCATTTACTATTGCCGTGCACTGTGTTACTCACATTCTCTTTATTCTTATTTTCATCTAATCAGAAACTTATGAGGAAGTATTAGCGTAATATTAGTTTAATATTAATTTTGTAGGTAGGAAAATTGAGGCTCAGAGAGGCAAGTAAGGTTCTAGTAAACAGGTGTGGTCAGGACTCAAGCTGATGTTTTACTTCTGACCATGCTCTGTTAATAAAAGTCATATGCCTTTCCTGCATATAACATGTATACAATCACTCTCCTACTTACTATTTTATGTTAAATATACAATAAAAGGAAAGAAGTAGATCTGTTCTTAAAATGTGAAGATATTTTATTTGTTTATCTCCTTACCGACTGCTTAGAAATACTGGTAATTGATTACGTTCACCAGTGAGTTTGGACATGAGCTAACTGCCTTGTATTTTATACTTAGGTGGTGGGGTTTCAAAAGAGAATCTCAGATCCTTTACTTTATTACTGGTCTCTGAGACCGAGACTAATATGACTGAGACTGGGCCAAGGTTAATTTTTTTCATCCTTACCTGAGACTATGTTTACTGATTTTAGAGAGAGAGAGAGGAAGGAAGATGGAGACGGAGAGAGAGAGAGATGTCCATTGGTTGCCTCCTGTATATACCTTGACCTGGGATTGAACCTACAACCTTTAGGTGTATGGGACAACGCTCCAACCGAGCCACCCAGCCAGGGTGCCAAAGTTAATTTTAAAAGTAGTGGTAAGGGTGAAGAAAGATTCCAGTTAAGGATTTAATGGGAAGCCCTGGTTGGTGTGGCTCAGTGCATTGAGTGCTAGACTGCAAACCGAAAGGTTACTGGTTTGGTCCCTAGCCAGGGCACGTGCCTGGGATGCAGGCCAAGTGCTACCGATCAATGTATCTTTCATACATGGATGTTACTCTCCCTCTCTTTCTCCTTCCCTTTCCCCTCTTTCTAAAAAGAGATATTAGAAATAAATAAAATCTTTTTTAAAAAAGGATTTAATGGGACAATTCACCCTACATCTTGAAGTCTTTTATTTTTATTATTTATTTATTTAATTATTGTTCAAGTATATATCTTGAAGTCTTCTTGTTGAGCGAAATAAGTTTTTAGTTGGAATTCTTCTTATTTACTTAAAAGGGGAAGCAATAGTAAAACCTGGGCACAACAATCAATATCTTTGTCTATTCTGGCTTTTTATTCTGTTTATTAAATATCTCTCTCTCCCCTCACTACTGGAATATGATATAATTTAGTTTTCTTCCACATCATAACAACTTGGTAGTTTTTCACAGGATGTGACAAATTCATACACTTTCATATGCCATTATCAATATAATAAGCCTACATTTATGTTTGTATTTAATGTTTTTATTTTTGTTTACATTTAGAACCCATTAAGAGTCCAGTTTTTGGTGAAAAAACATTGAGCTCAGAGCCAAGACCTACCTCCTTGTTAATTTGATATTGTGCAAGTCACCTTACCTCTCTGGATCTCAGCTGCCTCATCTACAAAAAGGAGATAAAAAATTTTAATCTATATGAAGGTAAGTAATTAGGTAAGAAAGATAAAAACAACTTAATGATAGCTTAAACACACAATATTAATTTTCTCAGGTGAAATAATTCTTGAATTAGACAGTCTCAGTTAGGTATAGTAGCTTCATAAAGTCATCATGGACCTGAGCTTTTTTCAGTTCTTTGCTCTGCTACCTGTAAGGTGTGCGGTCCTTGTAGTCCAAGATAGCTGCCAGAGCTCTAACCATCACAGCCAAGTTCCAGGCAGCAAGGCAAAGACAAAGGATTTATTCTCTTCTTTTAGGGAGATGTCCTGACCCACAGCTCAGGTTACCAGGGAAGCAGGAAAATGTGACTGGATGCATGGTTTTCCTGAATAATATTGAGCTTTTGTTATTGAGGAGGAAGAGAAGATTTGGATATTGGCAAATAGAATTCTCTGTCACAGTACAGATATTTTTGTCCTCTCTGAGAACTGTATGCCATGATCACCACTCATGGAAGTAGGAAGTAGAAGCTTTCCTACTTTTCCATAGTAGAGCTTTAACTCTTATCATGTCTACAGAAGAAAATAACTTTCATCTAATAAAAGCTGTTTTTTTTAACTTTTATCCCATGATTCATTATACAAGCCTTTCTGTCTCCATTGGGTATTTATTCTGGTTATTTTTTAAATTACTCATAAATGCTGATAGATGTTTGTTTTATAGTGTATGCATTTATTTAAAAAGAGCTACTTTTTTTTTTAGCTACTTGCTTTATGCAAGGGACTAAAAAGACAGAGATAAGTTATCCCAGGGGTCTCATGTAGTAAATCATCAGGAAGTAAATTTTTAATGACAAGTATAACCATCTCAAGATAAATTGAAGTTCAGTATGCTCTTTTGAGGCACACTTTTGCCTTCCTTATAAGTCAGAAGTTGTGGGGTTTTTTTTAATCACTTAACTGTTACTTGTCTTGAAATTTCCTCTTACTTAACAACTAGTCCTTACTTAACTGACTTGGGTATATCAATATTTTATTTCATTCCAGACCTTTATTTGCAAATATTATATGAATATACCCTATACTTGTCATGTGAAATGGTTTGGTTGGCTATTATATCTGTGAAGAAAGTAACTTGAAACAATGTTTGAGAAAAGAAAACAGAAGTACCGGGAATGTAAATTGGAGGGGGCAGAACAGAAAGATTCAGTCTTTTAGAGATGTTAAAAGGAAGATTAGAAGCAAATTAACACTTCATTCTACAAAGTATATATATGTGTTTTTGCAAGGTTTTGAATTTTTTCTTGTATCACTTAGGGACAAAGTATAATGATTCTGTTGCTACTAGTACTTTGATTCTCTTTTTTCCCCATCGAGAACCATTGACCTCAAACAAAATAATCAGGAGGCTTATGAGTTTTTCAGAGATATTTAGTGTTACGAGTCAGCTGACTGAAATGTCTCTTTGCTGAATACTATGATAATGCCTTTAAAGATTTTTTAATTAACAGAAAAAGAATCATGCTCTATGCATTGTTTCATAGAAGCTTTTATCAAGTTGCAGGTGTTTATTTCACAAGCTGCCTTGCACACTGCACTGAAAGTCCTGTGAGCGTAGGGACCAAGTCCTTCTCACTTAACTTCATGTCCTGCATAATATCTGGCACGTCGCGGGTACGTAATAAACATGCGTTAAATTAACAAGTGCCTAACATAGATGAAAGGAAACATACTTTAATTTAGTTTTAAATTTAAAAGTAAAAGGAATCAAAGAAGAGGAATGAAGGAGGGAGAAAAAGACAGTTGAGGGAGGAATAGAAACCACTGCAAGGAGGGATGAGCTACCGTATTTGGCTGTACATAATGTGCACTTCGTGGCCCAAATTTTAGAGGGAAAAATAAGGATGCGCATTACACGTGGGCAGTGCCTGAAATACCTTGTATCTGTTCTTGTGTTTTGTAATTATTTGTTCCATAAAATTTCTCGCACCATAATACGTTCAAAATTAAACACTAAAATTCCCTTATAATACAAAAAACAAGTATATGGATATAAATAAATAAATAATTGAATTAAAATAAAGTGAAAGATGTTTTTCCCCTGAAAGCTTTGGACAAAAATGTGGGTGCACATTATACATGGGAGCGTGTTGTACGTAGCAAAATATGGTAGTTTCAGTTTTCTATACACTTCATTTTTCTCACCCATGACCATTGTGGTTTTTTTGAAGATTTTATTTATTTATTTTTAGAGAGAGAGGAAGAGAGGGAGAAAGAGAGGGAGAGCAACATCTATTGGTTGGCTCTCACACACCCCTAAATGGGGACCTGGCCCACAACCCAGGCATGTGCACTGACTGGGAATGGAACCCATGACCTTTGGGTTTGGAGGCCGGAGCTCAAACCACTGAGCCACACCAGCCCCAGCGGCCTTTCTTTTTAACCACTTCCAGGATATCTCTCTCTACAGTCAAAACAGGAAACTGATAAACACCCCCACCCATGCGCCTACCCACCAAGTAAACTTAATCTGGGTAACTCTTGGTATGAATCAATAGTTAAGAAATCTGCCTTTGTACCCTGGCTGGTGTAGCTCAGTGAACTGAGTGCTGCCTGTGAACCAAAAGGTCTCTGGTTTGATTCCCAGTCAGGGCACATGCCTGGGTTGCAGGCCAGTTCTCCAGTAGGGGGCACACAAGAGGCAACAACACACCGATATTTCTCTCCCTCTCTCCTTCCCTTCCCCTCTGTCTAAAAATAAATAAATAAAAATTAAAAAAAAAGAAATCTGGCTTTGTGTGTAAGTGGGAGTTTTGATTTGGCGGAGACAGGGGAAGAGAGATAAACTTCCTTTGGGACTTGGAAATTATTGTGTACCTATGGAATACTAGGAAAGGCTAAGAACTCTGCTTACTTTGTAATTTCACCCAAAGCTGCGAGGCCCTTGGGGTCAGTGATTTCCATGTGGTCTTGAGATCGCTGTCTGATTTAGAACTTCAGATCATCCTAGTTAGGATCAGAAAACTGTTTCAGCCAAGTTCAGCCCAGTGTCTCCTCTTTAGGTCTCTATTCTTATGGAAGAAGAGGGTGATAAAAGAAAGAAGGCCATTCTTATTGACCCCATAATGGAAGAAAAGTAAGCTAGTCTTCCTTTTGCCTTATCCCCCTGCCTCCTTTTGTGTGAATATTGATTTTTATATTCTGGGCTTATGAAAATCTGTAAACCTTTGACCCATTTGACATTATCTTGGTATTTAAAGAGATCTTTGTGTCATTCCTTTTCCACCTAATGTGCTAGAACCTTTCCGTTTCTTTTATAAGTTAACTTTTATTGAGGCCTTATTAAGGAGTAGAGTAACTGTTTTACTTAACTTTAGACTTCAGTAAGTTAATTGTCCTAATTATTTCTAGAACAAACAATAAAAGATTAGAAACAAGCAGAGGGGGAAGCATGCTTTACAAATTTTCCATCAACCAAAAAATGAAACAAAAAAAGGCAAGAAAGGAGAGGAAGTAAATATAAAAAACGCAGGATAAATAGGAAGCCCAACCGAAGATGGTGCATTTAAAACTCAGTGTAAGGTATTTCACTGGCTCTAAAAACTTCAGAGTTTTTAGACTCTGAACTTTAGACACAGCATTATTAACCACACAGAGAAAATACTTCCAATGAAACTATGACACTGTGCTTTATCTCTTACCGTTTTGTTGTGTTTGCTGAAAGTGCTTTTTAAGGTGCATTTAGACATGGAGATTTTTCTCACATCACTTTTGTGCATACATAAATGAATTACAAGTAAAATAAATTCATTAAGGTATTTCTAAGACTTAATGAATACCTTAATGAATTCATTAAGGTATTTCTGAAAATGAGATGAGTGGGAAAAGTCAACTGATTTGTAGACACATTGCAAGGGAATGGTGAAATGAAATGTAGACCTAAATTTAATTTTGCCTTACTCTTAGGTATGACACTTGTTTTCTCTTCCTTGAGGATTTCAGTTTGCTCTTCAGATAAGCATTCTTTTTGGCTCTTATTGTGCACAGGACATTCATGAATAATGGAGCAAAGGGAGACGTGTTGTCAAATGTTAGCATGTATCAGAGTCACTTTACAGTGCTTGATAGTACAGATCGTCCCCCCATCCCCCCTGCACCCCAGATAGACTCTGATTTAGAAGGCCTGGAGGAAGCCTCAAGAATTAGCATTTCTACCACATTTCCAGGATGCTGAGGCTGCTGGCCCAGGGATCACACTTGGAGGACCACTGCTTAAACGCAGACACGGGCTTTGGGTCCCTCATTCCCAGGACTGAACTCTGGTTTTACGGCCCAGATCAAGTTTTTTAACTGCTATGCCTCAATTTCCTATGCTTTAAATTGGAGATAATAATATGTGTTTCACAGAATTAAAAATTAAACTCGTTAATATATAAAAACAGGTTTAGCATGCTGCTTAGTTCATAGTTAACACTCAATAGACTACTTCTATTGTTACTGATAATAAACCAGGGGGCCCAATTAAAAGTGTATGAGCCATAAATTTAGTCCGTGTTTTAGAGTAGACATCTAGAGACTTTTGGTACCTTTGGACTTCAACATGCTGCTGGGATCCACACACATGCACACTCATGTTTCTTTCTTGACTTGCCTTCCTATTTATGGCAGACATGGCAGAAGAGTGAGAGGGGGAAGTGACAAATTAGCAAAGCAATGCCACTTCCAAAATTGGGTTTAACTGTGCTAATTTACTTTGATTGATCTTAGGCTTCTATTGTGTATTAAAGGAAAGGTGGACCCTGTAAGAAAGCATATTTTAAAATACATGACATAGCTGCCAATTGCTGAGACAGAATGCCTACTAATTGCCCTACGTATGTGTGTTGTATGGTGTGAGGAGAGCCGAGGGGACATTGGAGATAACACAGGGTGGAGGGGAGGAAGTGCGTGAAAGGTTCTTTGAAACTCTGGGTGGCCCATTTCAAGGGATAGTCACAGTTTCTGATGAGGTCTGCTGTGAAGTTACAGAGGTACATCTCTGGGCTGAACTGTGTGTGCATCGTAGAGAGACTATTCAAATAATTTTAACACTTACTCACTTTCTAACCACATGTGCACCACAGTAGGACCCTGGAAGGAAACACCTTTGAATAGTTAAGTCATAGCTTGGGCTTTTCAGCCATGGCTACACTTAAAACTATTATTCTTCATGGACATGAAGCATGAATGAATAATAAATGTATGTTGTCATAAAAAATAGTTGTGGAACAGAAGGTGATTCACTATGGGAAGACATTCTGTCCACAAACAATGTGTTAGAGATTCATAATGCCTAGTAGCCCACCACAAGTGTGGGAAGTCTTGCAAAAATGAAAACCTACTTAGTGTCATTGAGCCAATGTCTCTCACACACATATTTCATCCTGAGAAGCATTTAACAACGATCAGGGTGAGGAACCAGTGTCCTAGAGAAGAGTGAACCTGGGGCTTGAGCGTACGTAGGTGGGACCCACCTGGAGAGTTTATTAAAACAGGTTCCTGGGCTCCACCACAGAGATTTCTGATTCAAGAGGTGTTGGGTGCAACCTGAGAATTGTATTTTGGGTAAGCTGTCAGGTGATTTGGTTTTTTCGGTTTGAGAATTAAACTCTGAAAACTATCTTTACAGAATAGACACATCCTCTACCTTCATTGGGTGAATTGTATGCAAGTTTTATCTCAGACAAGGTGTTAAAAATTTGATAGGCTAAAAGTAGCACTAAAATGTGAGGTCTAGTGATTTTGTTAATGCATGAAAATGGTCTGTGAATGAACTATTTTAATCAAAAATTTCTTCACGTGTCAAGTGAATCACTGCTCCAATACTACCCAGGGTCGTGTTAAACATGAGGCAGTGTACTTTTTTCCGAATTGTGTTCTGTGGATAAAAACCTATTATATTAAAAAAAAAAGTCCATGGCCTGGTAAGTCGGGAAGATGCTGAATTAAATAATGTGTTTTCCAGGTTGATGGTCAGACCATTCTTCTCCTTTTTTTTTAAATTTAAAAGACTTCATTTATTTACTTTTAGAGAGAGGGGAGGGAGGGCAAAAGAGAGGGAGAGACACATCAGTGTGTGGTTGCCTCTTGCATGTGCCTTAGACTGGGAATCAAACCAGCGACCCTTTGGTTTGAAGGCTGGTGCTCAATCCACTGAGCCTCAGCAGCCAGGGCTCAGACCATTATGCTTGATGTGGACCCTAACATGAGTCTATATGTAAAAAACCACCTAAATAGGAGGTTTTTATTCATGTCAATTCTTGTAGTAGATCCTCTGGTGCTACTAATATCCGTATGGAGTGGAAACTTCATAAGCGAAGGTGAACTACAGCAGTAGTTGCTCCTTCTTTGTTTCAACCCTGTTACATCCTGCATGATATGTATTGACCTATTTATTTGAAAAATCATTGACCGCCCAAAATTTTGGCAAATGACTGTTGGCTATGATAATGTTTGATAAGTTAAGAGAATATTTGTAGCGAGTCATTTCTCTCTTTTAATCAACTTATATCTATAGTACATCTTATTTTCAAAGTTAAGTTGAAGCTAATTAAATATTATATCTGGAAGTCATTTTGGCTCTATAATTTTTTTTAAAGATTTTTTATTTATTTTATTTTTTAGAGAGAGAGGAAGGGAAGGAGAGAGGGAGAGACACATCAGTGTGTGGTTGCCTCCTGCACGCCTCTAACTGGGGACCTGGCCCGCAACCCAGGCATGTGCCCTAGACTAGGAATTGAACCTGGGACCCTTTGCTTTGCAGGCCCGCACTCAATCCACTGAGCTATACCAGCCAGGGCAGGCTCTCTAATATTTTAATTGAGAAAAAAATACATAGTTCTTTTCTTATGCTCCATTTCTTAAACTTGGGCTATTTATTTTAAAATGTTTTGAGTCCCTCATTGCCATCCTTATTTGAAGCTTTTATAATAAACCAAATGTTTCCTTATACTATACAAACTTTAACATTTTTTTCCTTTTTAATTTTAGCTAAACAGGATTTCCCTCCTGCCTTTCTTTGTTAAAAAACATATAATCTTTATTACATTTTTTCCATTACTATTTACTCCCCTTATGCCCCCCTCCCCTCAGCAATCACCACCCTCCCCTGATTTTCTTCAGTGATACATTGTTTCTGTGGTATGATCTACTTTAACCCTCTCCCTAGAATTCTTTTGTTGTATTAAATTTCCTGGAACTTGACATATTATTGATGTGGCTTTGGGAATGCATGTACGCACAGTTTGCTAAGATGTTTTCAGCACTCCACTCTAGTTCTGCCTCTGTTTCAGATGAGGTGGAGGACTGTGCTGCCGCGGTGCTGTTTTCTCTGGGTCCCGTGTCTACTTGCCGCCCTCGAAGCTGTGCCCATAGACATAGACAAGACGAAAGTAAAACACCCTCCCCCTGTGGACAGTGCGAAGATAGAGCCACCAGTGAGTCCAACGGGGAATATAACCTGGCGGGGAGAATTTTAACTGAGATACTGCTAATATTTAGTATTAAAAATTGAACATTTCGAAACTATTTCTGAAATAGCAGTGAAAATAATGTAGGATACGCATATGTTGTTTAATGTTAGACAATATTTATTTAGTGTAGTGAGTGTGTTAGATAGTATATAGAAGAATTAATCACAGTACATTTCTCTTGTAGAGCTAACCAGTGCCCCCCCCCCAACAAAACTGTATTCTATTCAAAGGGGAGAGAAATAGCAATGAGGAGAAACAGGCAACAATGGGGTAAAACCAATTAATATTTTTCAAGTCTTCATTGTCTAAGCCATATAGAAAATGTACCTACTTTTGTGTAACAGCAAAACAGGACTTTGGTGTGATCCCCAAAACATGATTTCTACAAAACGGCCCTTCATTTGAGCTTTTTAGCTTTGACAGTCTAAACTATCAAAGTAGATATGTCTCAGCTGCATTTTGCTAACATTTTAGTTTTTTAAGAATTGAAATATTTAGATGCAGAGAAGGAAAAACAATCAAGCTTTACTGTTTGTTTCTTAATTCGAAGGACACTGGACTTTATTATGATGAATATCTCAAGCAAGTGATTGATGTGTTGGAAACAGATAATCATTTCAGAGAAAAGCTCCAGAAAGCAGACATAGAAGAAATAAAGGTAATTAAATTAAATTATTAAACTTTTCTGCATGCCAGACACTGATCTCTCAAGGGAGATTAACCTCCAGAAGAGGATTATTAAGATGGGCACACAGTGAGTATATAATATGCTTTGGATATGCGGAGGGTGGACTTGTAATTTGCTAAGAAGCAGTAGGGAAGGTGGGAAGTTGTTCTTTTTGGTAAAGAGTATGTCAGTGCTCGACGATGTGACTGAGAAAAGGAAAGAGACTGGGAGGCATCTGAGGCGACCGTGTGAGGGTACCGAGACGAGAGATACACGGGAAACTGGAGTTAGTAACTGTTGCTGGAACCTAGACTGGGAAGTGGAGGCCATGGCTGCCTAAAGGATGGGGTTGGAACGAGCCGAGGTGATGGAGGGCCTGGATCGTGATTCGAGGACAGAAGGAAGCTACTCAGAGGTTCAGCACAGGTTACGTTCTGGTGTTTTAGCCAGGTCTGGATTAACAGGAGAGGTACCAGGCTGTATCTTGTGTCAGTAGGAGAGATTTAACTATTTGCCTCTGTCTTAAAAGCCCTGTAGATACAATCTTAGCCGTAGACATCTTCTCAGTACTCATGATAAAGAAAGGGATTTGTGAAAGATCTGACCAGAGAGACCTTTTACAGTTCACCCTTGAAGGCCAATGAATCAGTTTAGTTGGGTTTATCTTAGAGTCAGCAGTAAAAATTTCCAATGATTTAATTTTAAACTCTTGGTTATACCTCTCAAGACAATATTATTTGCTTATGCTACTTTTGTTTATTTTTTAAACTTTTCCTAATAAATTTCTTACCCATTTCTATAATCAGAATTAGAGAACTTTGTTAGAAAGAACCCTTCTGGGTCAAGCATCCTTCTTATTTTACTCTCTCTCCTTCATGTGGGCCCTTTTGAAAGACTGACCGCATTGCACTGAGGCAACTCTCAGAGCCTGTGTGTGGCTTTTAGTTCACAGTTCTCTGGGAGGCAATGAACTGTTCTGGGCCAGTAATTCCCCTGAATTATCTTGAGGGTAGTCTTGCCTTTTCTTTGAAGAATTAATTAATTAATTAAAAAGTGTTTTATTTACTGATTTTTGAGAGAGAGAGACAGAGAGAGAGAAACAGAAGCATCATTTTGTTGTTCTACTTATTATGCCTTCATTGGTTGCTTCTTGTATGTGCCCTGACTAGGGATCGAACCCACAACTTTGGCATATCGGGATGATTCGGGATGATGCTCTAACCAACTGAGCTACCTGACCAGGGCTCTTTTAAAGAATTAATTTAATGTTTGGAACTAATTTCCTGGGGTGAATGATATTTAATATAAAACTTCGAATGTCTCTTATCTACTTAAATTAGTATTAAGGTATATAAGAGCATTATTTGGGGGTCACAGAAAATGTGGATAATGGGAGATACTATACAGGGCATGCCAAAAGTAGGTTTGCAGTTGTTTGTATGGAAAATAATGCAGTAATTAATAAATGATAATACAATATTTAATAAATAATAATAATACGAGAATATACTGTGTGTTTTGTATACTCACAACCGTAAAGCTGCTTTTCCCCACCCTGAACAGATAATTAGGGAAAAGAAGACAGCAGCCTCCTAGTTTGGTACAGGGAACACCTTTATAACTGTGTTCCTTTCACGGCCCATTCCTAGTCTCTGTTGGGCGTGTAGAATGTCAAACTGAAGTAAGTTACACAGTTATTCAATGAAAGGAGTAAAAATAGACAATAAAACCCATTTTTCAAAATAGCTTAGCAAAGATTCTTTTCTCAGATAGAGCTAGAAAAAAAAGTTAGAGTTTATCCTTCCCTTGTCAGCCAAGCATGTTGGAAGAGGAATCATACTACATCTTTATACTAAAACTTACTTTTTTAAATTTTATTTTTGGATCACAGTTTATATTTAATACATATTGTATTAGTTTCATGTATATAGCACAGTGGATATTCCTATAGGTTATAAAGTATTCCTTCTAATAATTCAAGTGCCCACCTGGCCCCATTCATAGTTTTTACAAAGCTTTTGGCCCATACTTTACCGCACACATCTATGCCTATTTTGTAACTACCAGTTAGTACCTCTTAATCCTATCACCTTTTCCACCCTGACCCCGACAACCCTCCCCTCTGGCATTCATCGGTCTCTCTGTATCTATAAGTCTGTTTCTACTTTGTTTCCTCATTTATTTTGTTCTTTAGATTCCACATAGAAGTGAGATCATATGGTATTTACCTCTCTCTGTCTGACTTACTTCATTTAGCATAATGCCCTCTAGGTCCATCCATGCTGTTGCAAATAGTAAGATTTCATTCTTTTTATGGCTGAGTAATATTTCATTGTATGGTCCATTGAGAAATTAGCTGTCTTATGGAAGCTCCCTTGTAGGTAATTAACTGTATTTCTCTTGCTGCTATTAAGATTCTCTCTCTTTAACCTTGGTCATTTTAATTGTGATTTGTGTTGGTGTGGACCTTTTAGGGTTCACCTTGTTTGGGACTTACTCTGTGGGCTTCCTGGACTCGTGTGTCATTTTCCTTCACCAGGATAGGGAAGTTTTCAGTCGTTATTTCTTCAAATATTATCTCAATCCCTTGCTCTCTCTTCTTCTGGGACCCTTAGCATGTGGATGTTCTTACGCTTGATGTTATCCCTTAAAGTATCCTCATTTTTTGAAATTCCTTTTATCTGGGGATTTCTTTTCTTCTTTTATTTGGGGCATGTTTCTTGGTCTCCACACTTTGGCAGCCTCTCTGTATTTGTTTCTGTGTATTAGGTAGATTTGCTCTGTTTCCCAGTTTCCGTAGGGTGGCAGTATGTGGAGGGTGTCCTGTGAGGCTCAGTAGAGCAGCCTCCCTGATCCCCTGAGCTAGGTGCTCCGGAAATGTCCCTTGTGTTTCTTATGTGAACCCTACTATTGTAGCTGCGTACTGATGGCCGTTGGCCCATCTTTGTGTGGGACTGACCCTGAGACTGGCTGACTATAAGGATTGACTCCAACCATAGTGTGTGAGCTCCTGTGTGGGGGCTGACCCCATAAATCAGAATTCGCCCCAGCATGGTTGGGTGACTGTGAAGATCTCCCTTGGGCATGCTGCTTGTGGAGCTAATTGGGTCATGTTCCTACGTAGTCTGAAGTCTGCTTCCAAGTGTGATGTTCTGGGGCCCCTTGTGAGAGACTCCAGGAAAGGTCAATGTCAGAGGCTGCCCGTGACTGGCTCTGGGCTACCTGTTTGGAGCTACAAAGTGATCTGCTGTTTATGGCTACCTCCGCTGGGCCTGGGCATGCCTAGAGAGGGGACAAGCTGCCTTTCACCAGTACTGAGTCTGGGGACAGGTCAGCACAAGTCCCAAGACACTCTGAGGGCTACCTCCATCTGCTGGCTGCCTGTTAAGTTTAGTCACTGAAAGAGCCTCTGGCCATACACAGGATGTGTGAGATAAGCTCTCAGTGGGTCACCAGGTGGCGGTGAGTGCTGTTTGCCAGGCTGATACAGATCGAAACTCAGTGTTGTGCTGAGTCTGAGGCCATTCAGCAAAAGTCTCAGGGTTCACTAGCCCCACCTGCCTGGAGCCTTCAGACCTTTGTGGTGGGGCGTGTTCTCAGGGTGTCATCAGAGCAAGGCCAGCAGAGTCATCAGGCTAAAACAGACCAAATTTGCCTGTGTGGAGGAATGGCTCTGCATAGGAGCAGTGGTGCTGGTCCAGAGTGTGAGAGAAAAGTGGCCCTCACCCTAGAACCACACAGCTCAGTCTCTCCCTTTGCATTTCTGCCATGCCCTGAGTCTCTCCGGACCTCCTGGAGAGCCCTCTATAATAGTCTGCACCATGGGCCCAGGGTGGAAGCGATGACGGACTACACAGCCAGGAGTGGTCCTGGCAGGGCAGGTCTGCAGGAGTCAGCAGGGCGGGATGCTTGGCCCAGGAACGATGGCATCTATGGACAGTGTAGGTGAGAGACTTAGCAGAGGGACATTGCTGCCTCACAGCCATGTCATTCAGTCTGTTCCTGTATGACTCTGTTCCCCTCCAAACTGCTGACCCTCCGCTAGATCCCTGGGTGAATGCTGCAAATGAGATTTTGTGCACTGGCTCTTTAAGAGGTCATTTGACCCAGGTGGGTAAAATACCTGCTGGATTTTCACAGCCAGGTACTGTGTGGACTCATGTTCCCAAATCTGGTTCTGCAGGTTAGGGAGCCTGGCATGGGGCCGAGGCCCCTTGCTCCTCCAGGAGGACCGTCTCAGCTACAATATCCCTCTGGATTCTTAACTGCCCCCCCACAATGTGGGTGTGGGGCCAGCCCTTGTTTCATCTCTGCTCTTCCTACTAGTCTCAATGTGGGTGCCTCTCTATATCCTTAGTTAAATTCTTCTGTTCATTTTGTCCTTAGATAGTTATTCAGGTTGATTGTTCTATGCTTTGGTTGCAATTCTGGTGTGGTCCTGAGAGGGGGTGAGTGTATGACTCTACTGCCATATTGTTCTGAATTCAGTGACTTCTCCTCCTCCCTCTTCTTCTTTTATAGATTTCATAGATAAATACATATTTAATAGATAAATATTAGAAATTGTCACATCATCTAACTACATACAACTTTACATCTGTGACTTCTGAATTCTCAAATCCAGTAAACATGTTTTGTTCCTCTTCTTACTGCACTCTCTTACTTTATCCTAATGGTTCTCAGACTTTAGGGCTGGTTAAAACACAGACTTAGGGCCCCACCTCCAGACTTCCTGATACAGTAAGTCTAGGGCCTGCACTTCCAAAGCTTCCAGGTGACGCAGATGCTTCTACTTGGGGAGCACACTTTGAGAACTATTGTTTCATCTAATAATAATGATCATGCTCTCCTTAAAATAGACTGCTCTTTCTGCTTCTATAACAGCATTATTTTCCTAGCTCTCCTTCTTTCTCGATCTCCCTTGTGGGGTTTCTTTTCCTTCCCTGCTCCGGCAGGCCCCACTGACTCAGTCATAAATGATTTGTCTGCCCGAATGCTAGTTAGATTTGCCGTCTGTGAATACAAATGCATTTATACACAAGAGAAAGTAAGCCAGTAGCTGTTTTGTTTCCTAAATCTTGGAACATGTATCTGATTACTCATCTATGAAAAAAGTTGTCAAAGGAGACACCATAAAAAAAGATGAGTTTCGAAGTTACTTATATATGGGATATATATCTAAAGTAGGCCGAGCTACCTTTAAAAAATGTATTGAAATATAATTCACAACCATAAAATTTGCCCCTTTATTTATTTATTTTTAAATTTGCCCCTTTAAAGCATAGAATTCAGTGGTTTTTTTAGTATATACACCAAGTCTTATAACCATTACCACAAATTTTATTTGCTCCCAAAAGAAACCCCATACCCATTAAGCAATGACTACCCACTTCCTTCTCTCTTTAGCCCCTGCAACTAGTAATTTGCTTTCTGTCTTTATGGATTTGCTTATTCTGGACATTTAATATAGAGGCAATTATACAATGTGTGTCCTTTGGTGTCTGGCTTCTTTGACTTAGCATAATGAATGAAAGCATGTTTGCAAGGTTCATCATGTTGTAGCATGTATTAGTACATTGATTCTTTTTTTGTGGCTGAGTAATATTCCATTGTATAGATATTCCATATTTTGTTTATTAATTCACCAGTTGATGGACATCTGAGTTATTTCTACCTTTTTGGCTAGTGTGAATAATGCTACTATGACCATTCATGTACAAGTTTCTTGTACATGTGAACATAAGTTTCCATTCTTTAGGTATATAGCTAGAAATGGAATTGTTGGATCCTATGGTAACTTTTTTTTATAAGAGAAAATTTATTTAGAAAGTCATGGAGATAGGAGAAGTGAGCTGTAGAAGAAATGGGCTTAGGAATCAAGTTACAGAGGCCAAAAGAAGGGTTTGGAGCTTAGGGGGGACAGAGGGAGGCAAGGAAAATGCCCCCCGGGTGCAGGGGGTGGGGAAAGGTCGGGTTCGCTCCAGACAGAGAGCCAGTGTTTAACTTTCCAAAGAACTGCCCAATGTGTTTTCCAAAGTGGATGCACCGTTTTGTAATTCATTACCGTTTAAGTTTCTCCTTTGTGCTTTAGTTATGCTCTTATAAATTTTACATATCTTGATTTTAGACTTACAAATTAAATATCTTCTGAAAGAAATGCTTTTGTAATATCAAATTTATCTAAGTTAGTCAAACGTATCTAACACTACTTTATTGTAACCCTATTTTTAATGTATGGTATCTGCCCTAAAAATGCAGGATAACAGATAAAACTAACTTTTTATTTTGTCAACAGAGTGGGAGGCTAAGCAAAGAGCTGGATCTAGTCAGTCACCATGTGAGGACAAAACTCGATGAACTGAAAAGGCAGGAAGTTGGAAGGTTAAGAATGCTAATTAAAGCTAAATTAGATTCCCATCAAGGTAAGTGCTAAATAAAAGGTAGGAAGATTTCAATATCTGGTGTTGCAGTCAATTTCTATTAGTACATGCCATGCTCTTCTATTCAAAATTTAATGTTAGTATTCATTTGGCTTCTCTTAATTAGTATTAATTTTAGCTTCTCTTAAAATTTAATTATTTCAATAGGCAATACCTTCACAGCATTCAAAATTCAAATGATTAACTTTAAGTAATTATATCAGTAACAAGGAAAAAAGAAAAGTAATGAATGGAACCACTGATTTAAAACAAGAAAAGTGAACTGTCAGAAAATCGAAGTGTATGGAAGTCCCACAACCAAGGAAATAAGTCACCTTCATTCAGACGGGCAGGTGGGATGGAACTGCAGAGATGCGGAGAGGTGGAGCTGGCTGGTCCCACACCCATGTGTATTGGATAAAAATCAAGAGGGGTGTCTCAGGAGTGAGGGATCCCAGCCCCATACCAGACTACCCGCCCAAGGTTCCAGTACCAGGAAGATAAGTCCCAAAACTTCTGGCTGTAAAAGTCAGTGGGGTTTGGGGCGGTGGAAGAAACTGGGATTCTCAGGCATCTCCTCTTAAAGGGCCCACAACAAACTTACGACTTACTCAGACTCATTCCCTCTGGGCTCCAGCACAGGGGCAGCAGTTGGAAGGACACCTGTAGCATACGGGGGAGGAACTGAAGTGTCTGGCATCCGGACAAGCTTCCTCCCAGACAAAACTTCAGAGGCCAGGCAGCAGCCATTGTTCCTTTTCTGAGCCCTCCCGCACACAGAGCCATGTATCTGAGACTCCATTGACCTAGTTCACACAGGTTGCTCCTCCCTGGCAATTGCCTAAGGCTTTCTCTTTTCTTTCTGGCACCCCTGCGATGTGAATGTTGGACCTCTTGAAGTTGTCCCAGAGGCTGCTTACACTATCCTTATTTTTTTGGATTCTTTTTTCTTTTTGTTTTTTCTAATTGGTTGTTTTTTGCTTCTTTCTCTTCAAAATCATTGATTTGATTCTCAGCTTCATCCACTCTACTATTGTTTCTCTGTAAATTGTTATTTACTTCAATTAGTGTAGACTTCGTTTCTGACTGGATCTTTTTTATGCTGTTGAGGTTCTTACCAAGTTCCTCGAGCATCCTTATAACCAGTGTTTTGACCTCTGCATCTGATAGATTGCTTATTTCCATTTTGTTTAGTTATTTTTCTGGAATTTTGATCTGTTCTTTCATTTGGGCCATGTTTCTTTGTCTCCCTATTTTGGCAGCCTGCCTGTGTTTGTTTCTATGTATTTGGTAGAGTTGCTATGACTCCCTGTCTTGGTAGCATGGCCTAATGTAGTAGGTGTGTCCTGTAGGGTTCGGTAGCACAGCCTCCCCTACTACCCAAGTTGGGTACTTGAGGTGTGCCCTTTGTGTGGGCTGAGTACACCCTCCTCTTGTAGTTAAGCCTTGGTTACTGTTGGCAGGTCAATGGGAGGGATTTACCCAGACTGGTCAGTTGCAAGGATTGGCTGTGACCACTGACCACCAACCTCTGCCCTCATGGAAGATCAGCTCTGCAGAGGCAGGATGGTAGTGCTCTGACATGGTCTATAGCTGTCCACTGCGTGCACAAGCTCTGTGGTATCCTGGCTGGTGCAGACCAAGGTCAACCAGGGCCTGTGTTCTGCCCGGGGCCACCCTGCATGAGCTATAAAGCCATCTGAGATGGCTGCTACCTGTGCTGGGCTTGGAGATCCCAGGCAAAGCCTAGGTGAGGGTCCAGGTTGCCTGCTGCTAGTTCTAGGCCTGGGACCACTTAGCAAGAGGTACTGGGGCTGGGGGCTTACTGAGGTCAGCTGTTGCTTGTTTGATAGGATTTAGGAAGTTGTAAAACATGAGCCAAGATCAGCAATTTGTATGGAAAAATCACAGTTAACAGTTTGGATGAGCCAGTTTGGGTAAGACAGAATCTCAGGAAATCTCTAGGGTGGGCCAGGTTGATGGAGTTTCAGTTATGTCACCCACCTGCTGGCTCTGTAGCTCTGTTGGGGACGGCTCAGAAAAGGGACAGTGGCCTCTTTCTACCTTTCTGTCTGGGAGAAATCTGTCCCTCAGTTCCTACCTTGATGCCAACCACTTCAATTCCTCCCTGTGTGCCACTAGTGTCTTTCAAACTGCTACCCCAGGGCTGGAGCTCAGAGGGAGTGAGTCTGAGTAAGTCCGTGTGTGGGTTCTTTAAGGGGAACTGTTTGGGGCTCCTGAAGTTTTTTCCACTGACTTAATCCCCACTGGATTTTGCAGTCAGAAATTATGGGCACTCATTTTCCTGGCACTGGAACCCTGGGCTGAGGAGCCTAGTGTGGGGCTGCGTCTCCTTGCTCCTGAGATGTCCCTCCTGGATTCTTACCCACCACACATTGATAAGCCTGGGACAAGTCTGTTCTGTGTCTCTGCCCCTCCTACCAGTCTGGATGTATGTGGTTTCTTTAATTCTGTAGTTATTAGAATTCCCTTCCACTTGATTTCTGATGGTTTTGAGTGATGGTTGTTCTATATTTTAGTTGTAGTTTTGATGTGGTTGTGAGAGGTGATGAGCCATGTTTACCTATACCACCATCTTGACCAAAGCCTAAGAAGTAGATTTTTTAAATATGAGGATATTTTAAAGAAAGTAATCACATAATTCAAATGATCATCTTCATATATACAGAAAAGGCATTTGAAAAAATTTAATACCCTTTCTTAATTTGAAAAAGGTAATAAGATAGTAATCAATAGATACTTCTGTAACATGATCAGATATGTTCAACTCAGCTACATTATACTTAACAGGGAAACACAAGTCTGTATTGTAACTAAAATTGGGAACAAGACAATTGATGCTCACTATTACCACTACTAGTTAACATTATGTTGGAGGTACTAGCCAAAGCAATTAGATAAGTGAAAAAAATATTGAGAAGAAGTAACTGGAAAGAAGGTGAAAAAACCCATCTCTATTTGTAGGTGATGTAGTTTGGAAAACCCAAAATAATTGGCTGAAAACTTAGTATAAACAACAGGAAAGTTCATCAAGATAAACTTACTATACAGAAATCAATATATTTCATGTGTACAACCAACAGCCGGTTAGAAAATATAATGGAAGAAAAGACTCCATTTGTAATTTCAACAAAGTTAAAATACCCAGAATAAACCAATTAAGAAGTGTATGCAACTTACATACAAAAAACTTAAAATACTCCTAAAGGACACAAAAGTAGACTTAAAAAATGGGAAGACATACAAAGACTCAACATTATAAACATATCAATTTTCCATAGGTTAATTTATAAGTTCAACATAATCCAAATAAAAATATGTACTTTTTTTCCTGGTATAATACTAGCCAAGTTAATTTAAGGCTCTTATGGAAAAGGAAACAAACAAGGAAAGCTCCATACCTCTGTTCAGTGGAACAGAATAGGAATTCCAGGAGTAAAATTAAATATACATGGAGTTCAGTTTGAATTAAAGGTGGTATCTCATTTTTAGTAGGATAGATTTTTAAAGATTTTATTTATTTATTTTTACAGAGAGGGGAAGAGAGGAAGAAAGTGGGGGGGAGAAACATCAATTGGTTCCCTTTATACTCACCACAACCAGGAACTGAACCCCCAACCCAAGCATGTGCCCTGACTGGGAATTGAACCAGCAACCTTTTGCTTTGCGGAAGGATGCCCAACCAACTGAGCGACACCGACCAGGATTGGAATAGTAGTTCTTAATCTTCACATTGCATGAGAACCACCTGGGGAGCTAGTAAAAAATGCAGATTACTAGATCTCACCTCCAGATTCTAATTCTGGTATGAATAATCTGCATTTTAAACATGTACATCTGGTCAGTGGATTGTATGCAGGGAGGGGATGCTTATGAAAGCATTAAACTCTCTGCTGGTGAATAGACTTAAAAAACAAGGACAAAATACTCATTATCCTGAAAGTAAGAATATCAATGAGATGTTAACTGAGCTCATGCTATATTATTTAGGACCAGCACACAAGGTAATTTCACCCTGGAAAACAGGCCTAAGTTGTTTTGAGATTTCTTTTGCCTTAGACAACATCCATATCTTCAATCTTAGTAACATTTTCTTTATTTCTAGAAAGAGACTGAATTTCATTATCTAAAGAAAGCAGTCTGATATGCTTACAAAAGTTCTGACTATGTTGTCATCGATTCAGAATTTATCAATTGAAATTTCTGATAATTTGAAGGGTTTCAAGCACCTTAATTGGGGGGGGTATAATTTTCAAAGTAGGTAATACATTCACATGGTTTAAACCCAGAAATTATAAGAAGGAATATAGCAAACCCCCCTAATTTTTTTGTAATCTGACAGTTCTCACTGCCCCAGCACTGTCCTTCCTGAGTTTCTTTATTCTTTTTTTAAAAGAGTTTGTTTATTTATTTTTTTAGAGAGAGGGGAAGGGAAGGAGAAATAGAGGGAGAGAAACATCACTGTGTGGTTGCCCCTCACATTCCCCCAACAGGGTCCTGGACAGCAACCCAGGTATGTGCTCTGACTGGGAATCAGCAACCACTTAGTTTATAAGTTCACACTCAATCCACTGAGCTAAACCAGCAAGGGCAGTTTCTTTATTCTTACATGGGCAAATACAAATAAAAGTTCTGTTTCCCCACTCTTTTTATGTGAATGCTACCATACAATACACAGTTTTGCCTTGTTTTCTTCCTTTAACAATGTATTTTGGAGATCTTTCTATATTATTACACAGAGACCATCTTCATTTTTAAAAAACAGCTGTATAAATTTTCATTATATGAAGATACTACAATTCATTTAACCAGGCCTCTGTTGGTGGACATTTGGGTTTTTTCTAGTGAATGCTCTTGTTTATATGACAAGGTCTGTCCAGAAAGTATCAAGCCATATACTATGAAAAATACGGACATTTATTGAAGAAGATACAAGAAACATTATACATAGGACAATGACACCTCAGTCCCCTTCGAAGTAGGCACCTTGGGACCTCACACAGTTCTCCCAATCACCATCAGCTGCCCTATCATGTTTTCCTGAATTTCATTGATAGTCTGAAATCTCTTCCTTTTGAAAGGTGATTTTAGTTTTGGGAAAAGCCACAAATCATAGGCTGCCAAATATGGGCTGTAGTGGGGCTGAGTCATCTGGGTGATTTGATATTTCACAAAAAAAACTATGCCGGAGACATGATGCATGAGCGGGTGCACTGTTGTGATGAAGCTGTCCGATCACTGGTGGAGGCCTTCTGAATCATCTGAATAGTTTCTGCGGAGGAGTGCTCAAGCTTAATGCAAAATTTGATGCAGATTCATTGCTCCACTCACTCAGTACACATTCTCATCAACAGCATCTGCCACCCCCACTGACTAGTACAGTGAAGTCATCATTGTTCACACATGCACATTCCAGTCCACTCTCCTTGGCTGCCAGGTTACATTAGTGTTGCACAGACCATTCTCTATATTTAAAAAAATCTATTTTTAAAGAGGGAGGTGAAGAAAGAGAGGGAGAGAAATGTTGGTGTGTGAGAGAATCTACCGGTTGCCTCTATTATACTCCCAGCTGGGAACCCAGCCCACAACTCAGGACTGAGTTGCCTCTTCCCTGGCTGGGAATTGAATGAGCAACCCTTAGGGCCATACCATTGAGCCACACCAGCCAGGGCCAAAGTGTTCTCTTTATATTAACAATGGCTGGACTTTTTCTGGACAGACCTTGCATATCACTATACATCTGTGTAAAATTACTTGAGGGATATGTTCCATGTAGTGAAACTGTAAACTAAAAGATACATGTATGTATTTGCAACTTGGATAGACACTGCCACCTCCACAAATGTTGTATCCATACTCATTCCCACCAGCAATAATTTATCTCAGTTTTGCTAATAGTATGCATCTTCAAACATCAGGAGTTTGTTTTTTAAAAATAATTATTCATTTTGATTAGTAATGCTTTAAAAATATTTTATATATTTGTTTTCAGAGAAAGGAAGGGAGAAAGAGAGGGAGAGAATGTGTGGTTATCTCTTGCGTGCCCCCAACTGGGGCCTTGGCCAGCAACCCATACATGTGCCCTTTGGTTTGCAGGCCAGCACTCAACCCACTGAGCCACACCAGCTAGCCCCAATGTTAGAAGTTTTGCCCTGGCCAGGTAGCTCAGTGGATTAGAACATTATCCAGATATGCCATGGTTGCAGGTTCGATACCCAGTCAGGGCACATAGAAGTATCAACAAATGAATGCATAAATAACTGGAACAACAAATTGATAACACACTGATGTTTCTCTCTCTCTCTGCTTCTCTCCCTCCCTTTGTCTCTGTCTCTCTCCCCCTCCCCCTCTCTCTCTAAAAATCAATAAAATAGAAAACTTTAGGAGTTCTGCCATCCTGTTACATGGTATACTAGTGAAGTTTTAATATGTGTTTCTCTTATCTTGACTGAGGTTAAGTGTCTTCTCATGTGTTTCACTGTCTGGTCATACCCTTTCGGGCTAAGTCTTATAACAAATCTTTAATCATAAGTAAAACTCCTAGTACACTGTCATAGCAAGAATTCAGTGAAAGCTTGGTTGAACTAAATTTAGCAGTTCCTTCCTTCTTAGCACAACAAAGCGCCCGGGCTTGTCCTGTATCTGCCTGCCAGCCCAGGAATGAGTGAGTCATTGATGTGACCAGTTCTTTTCTTAAGTGGGAGGTGGTATTACAGCCCAAGGGCTGGCACTAGCTGTGCTCATTGCTTCTGGAATACATACTCTCAGCATTTTTGTCAGATAGAGTTAGGAAATATGTGCATGCCATACACATATGCATGTATGCACGCCTGTGTGTACATATGTGTATATAGACACACATGCACACATACCTGAAATATATGTGTACATGTACAAGTTTTATAAATGATAAGTTGGTACTGATAGCACTAATTCCTATCCATTTCCATGGGTTTCTTGCCTTCTTTCATTGCATATTTGTATATTCATTTTTCCTAAGTGGGAAGTCTGATTTCTGACAGATCAACGCGCATACTTGTCTTGTTCAATTCTATAATACGATACAGTCCAGAATCACTTCACCCTTTCAGCCACAATACAGTACTTACTGTAGCTTGGTTTTTAAAAAAGTTTTACATGCCCTGGCTGGTGTAGCTCAGTGGATTGAGCGCAGGCCTGCCAACCAAAGCATTGCTGGTTTGATTCCCAGTCAGGGCACATGCCTGGGTTGCAGGCCAGGTCCCCAGAATGGACTGCAAATACACATTGATGCTTCTCTCCCTCTCTTTCACCTTCCCTTCTCCTCTCTCTAAAAATAAATAAATAAAATCTTAAAAAAAAAGTTTTACAGAGAAAAACAATTGATGTTTCTTTAAAAGTCAGTCATTATTCAAATGAATTTATTGGAGTTAGACTTTTATTGTCTAAAAGATTCACTGGAGCATTATACAAAGAATCTTTTTTTTTTTTAATTTAAGTACAGGGTTGGGCTTTACTTGACAATGTTTGCTTGCCTTTTCAGCTCAACTTTTCAAATTCCAGTTTTACATGGGTCAGTAATAGTTGCGACATACATGCAAACAGCTAAAAAAATCAAAACATGGTTTCAGCTGTTAGAAAACATGTCACCCTCTTAACACACACTTTGGCAGTGTCCCGTTGGGTTAAGTGCCACGTGGGACTGCAAGTTCTCTTAGGAGAGAATTGGGTTAGAAGCGTGCACTTGACCAGTCAAAAAGGACAAGTCAAAATTTACCTCACAAAAACCCCTCAGGATAAGCACAAAGAATCTTTCATATAAATTTTAGAGCAATTCTTTTTAGAAGTTCTACTTAGACCTTTGATGAGGGTAGTGTGTTAGAATTTATCTAATGAAACACAGGAAATTTGGTAGTAGTTTCATAATAGTAAAAAGTTTTTGCTATTAATTATACTGGTCCACTAGTCTTTCTAGAAATAACATTAAAATGTGCACATTATTTTATATTCCATTCTATATTCAAGGACATTTCCTTTGCCTAGAATAACAACAGGTACCATATCCTAAAAGAAAACATGGACCCTTAATCTAAAACTTTGAATTTTGTTATACAATCCAATAGGAATCAGTTTGAATGCTTATTCTTATGTGTTATTTATATTAATGTTTCTAGCTTGTAGTAATTTATCTTTTATAGTTTTCTTATTTTCTTTCAGATACAGGCATGGATCACCATGCTCTGCTGAAGCAGTTTGATCACCTAAACCACCTGAATCCTGACAAGTTTGAATCTACAGATTTAGATATGCTGATCAAAGCAGTAAGAATAGTTCCAAAAAATAGTGACTCTGAGGGTTTGTAATTTAATATACGTGTATAATGGTTATACATATCTGTAATTTGACAAGTAAATTTCGATGAAGTGCTAATGTAACTACTCTCTTGTATATCTTTAAAGGGAGGTGGCTTAACCTCTTTTAGTACAGATAATAATTTGTACATACGGGTCTTGTTATCTCTTAAACACAATGGCAAAATCCACCCTCCCCCCAAAAAATAATGAATAAAAACCAACTGTAAAACCTGAAACCTAGCTTGAATTATAGTCGGGCTACTTATATTTCTTATTTAGCCTACTTAGTGTGAGTATTCATAGGTTTTGCTACAGAAACAGAAACACTATTCTTTTTGATGACAGGTTCTGCAGGGATGTTACATAATGTGGCATATGTGACATTCCCTTTCTTCAAAAACTTTAGAAAATTCTTTTTTGTTGTTTCCAGTTTTATTGAGATATCATTGACATGTGACTGTTTAACTCAAGGTGTACTACACAATGCCTTGACATTGCCGAATGATTACCGAAATAAGTTTAGTTAACACCCATCACCTCATATAGTTACAAAATTTTTTTCTTATGGTGAGAGATTTTAGGGTTTATTCTCTTAGCAACTCTCCGATCTACCACACAACACTGCTGACAGGCCCCCGTGCTGCACTGCCATCCCCAGGACTCACCCACCTTATAGCTAGAAGTTGTGCCCTTTGGCCCCGTCACCCAGCCCCCCACCCTCTGCTCTGGTACCCATAAATCCGATCTCTTTTCTGATGAAATGAATTTGTTTTTTAAGATTCCACACATAAGTGAGATTATACAGTATTTGTTTTGGTCTGACTTATTTCACTGAGCATGAGGCTCTCCAGGTCCACTCATGTTGTCACAAACGGCAGGATTTCCTTCTTTTTATGGTCTTGTTGATGGACACAGGTTGTTTCCATCTCTTAGCTGTTGTAAATCATGCTGCAGTGGACATGCAGATATCTCTTTGCCACAGTGGTTTTTTCTTTTCCTTCGGATGGACACCCAGAAGTGAACTGTTGGATTATATGGTAGTTCTGTTAACTTTTGGGGGAACCACATTATCGTTTCCCACAGTGGCTGCACTAATGCACAGTCCCACCAACAGTGCACAAAGGTTCCCTTTTCTCCACATCCTCAGCAGCATTTAGCTCTTGTCTTTCTGATGATAGTCATTCTAAAAGGCATGAGGTAATAATGTCTCAGTGTAGTTTTGATTTGCATTTCCCTAATCATTGATGGTGAGCACCTTTTCATGTACCTGTTGGCGATTTGAATATCTTCTTTGGGAAAAATGTCTATTCTAGTCCTTTGCCCATTTTTATACTGGATTATTTGCTTCTCCCCACATTGTCTTTGTCCACGGGTCCTTTGTTACATGTTCCTTGATGATCCTGCCCCTTCTTTCCCGTTACCCACCCGCTCATCACTGTCAGTTTGTTCTTTATTTCCATGTCTCTGGTTCTATTTGCTGGTTTGTTTCTTTTGTTGATTAGGTTCCACTTATAGGTGAGATCCTATGGCATTTGTCTTTCACCGTCTGGCTTATTTCACTCAGCATCATGCTGTCCAGTTCCATCCAGGCTGTAAAAGTCATTGCCGAAACCCATGTCAAGAAGCTTTTTCCCCATGTTTTCTTCCAGGAGTGTTATGGTTTCGGGTCTTATATTTAATCTTTAATCCACTAAGAGTTAATTTTTACATGTGGTGTAAGGGGCTTAGTTTCATTCTTTTACATGCGAATACCCAATGTTTCCAGCAGCATTTACTGAAGAGTATCCTTGACTCCCTTGTCAAATATTAGTTGATAGAAAATTCTGAAACTCATCTGGCCTCAGGGATTTTATTTATTTATCTACCTATTTATTTATTTATGCAATTAGAAACTTGTGAATTGTTTATTCCTGAAATTACCCTTTTTTAAACTTTATTTTTATTGTTGACCCTATTGCAGATATTCCCATCTTCCCCCCCTTGCCCACCTCCTCCAGCCTCCCACCCCTTGCCCCCAGCCTCAGGGATTTTAGATAAGAGTTAGCATACCTCTCTGGTTGTACTGTACCAAACTACCAAGCTAAAAGTTCTTGCCTGGATGTTATGAGATTGAGTTAAGTGGTTAGAAACTTATCTAGTTTTCTCTTGTCAAATTTGAGACAGTCCCTTCCTTCTTCTTTTTCAAATCAATTTATATATTACTTATGAGGAACTTCCTAAACTTTTAGTTTCTTTGAATGCCTGCATTTCTGGTAATAATAATGATTGAAATAAAGTGGAAGAATTTAAAAAGAAGAGTCCACTATATATATTTTTTGGCCCTTCTGTAGTGTATTCTGTTAGAAAATATGCTATGTGTAAGAATGGCTTTCTTCATATTTTTCAAAACATACCTTTTTATTTAATTTAAATGTTACATTATAGGCTACTACTGATCTGGAACACTACGATAAGACTCGACATGAAGAATTTAAAAAATATGAAATGATGAAGGAACATGAAAGGAGAGAATATTTAAAAACACTGAATGAAGAAAAGAGAAAAGAAGAAGAATCCAAATTTGAAGAAATGAGGAAAAAGCATGAAAATCACCCCAAAGTTAATCACCCAGTAAGGACCATGGCTTTATGAAATCGTAATTAGGTGGAAATACTTTGTTCCAAATAGAATTTTCTCCTAAGTTACTGGTACTTAACTCTTGATCCTTAATTCTGAAAAGTTCCTCAAATTTATGTTTTATTTTGAGTCTATACTCACATAGTGTATGTTTTGTTTTGAGCAGTTTTTTGTCTGTTTAAAATTGACTCACAGGGCAGCAAAGACCAGCTGAAAGAGGTGTGGGAGCAGACTGATGGGCTGGACCCTAATGACTTCGACCCCAAGACATTTTTCAAATTACATGGTAACATGTTTATACAAGTATTTATACTTCTGTCTGCTGCTTGAAAACTTATAGGTTGCTTTACTCTTAATATTTCTGCCAAGATCAGCTATTAAATCCTACTGACAGTAAATGTTAAGACTTTTTCTCTAGGGTAATATAATAGTCTTTATTGCTGATATGCAGTATAAAATATTTTAGGTCAGTAGCTTTGTCTTTATACCTACTTTTTTAATTAAAATTTTTTTCAAGATTTTATTTATTTATTTTTAGAGACAGGGGAAGAGAGGGAGAAAGAGAGGGAGAGAAACATCAGTGTGTGGTTGCCTTTCACCTTTCACATCAGTGTGGTGCCCCCATCTGGAGACCTGGCCTGCAACCCAGGCACGTGCCCTGACTGGGAATCGAACTGGTGACACTGGTTCGCAGGCCCGTGCTCAATCCACTGAGCTACACCAGCCAGAGCTTTATACCTACTTTTACTGTTAAGTCATTATATGTAAAATGAAGTATTCTCTGTAAAATGAAGTATTTCTGTGACTAGGTAGGTTATATCTAAGAGAATTTATGTTATAATATTAAAATGTACTTTTATAGCATATTGCTTTACTTTATATTTTGTGAAAAAATTAGTTTTCTAAAAAAGCTATGATAAATTATAAATAAATGAGTTGTTATCAGTTGGACTGACCTGAAGCTTCATAAAAAGAAAGGTTTTTCTGCAGTATATTGATGCTTCATGTCAGCACTACTTTCGCAAACCACTAGTAAATAGTTGTATTTTAATTATTTATTTTCTAAGGCATTAAAATCAGTTTTTTTGCATTGGGGACTTTAGATGTCAATAATGATGGCTTCCTTGATGAACAAGAATTAGAAGCCCTGTTTACCAAGGAGGTAAATGAGTTCATTAAGTATTTGGTTGTTTCGCTCTCTCTCTTTTTCCTTCCATTTTCTTTGTTTTATGGTGTTTAAAATTTTTTCTTTTTAGTTGGAGAAAGTGTATGACCCCCACAATGAAGAGGATGATATGGTAGAAATGGAGGAAGAAAGGCTTAGAATGAGAGAACATGTAATGAATGAGGTATGTTTTAAAAGTTTTAAGATATATTACCTGTGTGGATTATCAAGTTGTGATAAATTTTACCACAAAATGGAAGGCGAATATATGGAATTAGTTTTTACTTGGATTTTGCATTTTTGATCCAGAATATGCAGTAGGTTCCCCTTGGTATAAATAAATTATTTGTAACTCCTTTAAAGTATATTTTTTAAGTTTATTGATTTTTGAAAGAAAGAGGATGGAGGGAGAAAAAGAGACAGACGTCGATTTATTGTTCCACTTATTTATGCATTCATTTGTTGATTCTTGTACGAGCCCCGACCAGGGATTGAACCTGTAACCTTGGTATATGGGGATGATGCTCTAACCAACTGAGCAACCCAGCCAAGGCTTAAAAGATTAAGATGCTATTGCATATCAGCTATAAACATCCTTTTGGAAATAAAAAAATAGTGCAGTCCAGTATTTGGTATATTAAATGGCCATTTTAGTTTTTGGTAAGAAAATCCAAACACCCAATACCTAAGTGGTTTATAACAAATCTTTATTTCTTGTTTACATTACTAAGCTGAAAACTCTCATATAGACATCAAAGCATGGTTTTGCTTCAGTGATTTTTACCTGATATTGATGGGTTGGGATTTCTGTTGACTATTGGCATCCCAGGTGGCAAATGGATTTCTTTTTTCTTTTTTTTAAGAGATTTTATTTATTACCTTGGCTGTTGTGGCTCAGTGGATTGAGCACTGGTCTGAGGACTGAAGGATCACCAGTTCGATTCCCAGTCTAGGACACATGCCTGGGTTCCAGGCCCGGTCCCCAGTTGGGGGCATAAAAGAGGAAACTGACAGATGTTTGATGTTTCTCTCACACATTGATGCTTCTCTCCCTCTCTCTCCTCCTCCATTCCCCCTCTCTAAAAATAAATCAATAAAATATATCTTTAAAAAGATTTTATTTATTTCTTTTTAAAGAGAGTAGAAGGGAGAAAGAAAGATAAGTGGTGACATATCAGTATGTGAGATAAACATGGGTGGGTTGCCTCTCAGGCTTCAGCCTAGGCATGTGCTCCAACTGGGATTTGAACCAGAGACCCTTCGGTTCATAGCGACCCTCAGTGCTCAATCCACTGAGCCACACCAGCCAGGGCACAGGTGGATTTCTTTTTGGGCATTACTTTTGTAACTGAATTTGTCAGAGTTTACAAGAGCCATTGGAGGGTTTGGAGAGGTTGTAAACTTTTGTTTTGATTTACTTAGTTGTTTGTTTTTAAGAAGAAATATTGACAGCATTTTAACTTTACTCTGGCTAAACAGTCCTCTTACTGAAAAGGTTATTTTTCTTGCCCAAACCCTTGGCTTCAAGAGAGATTATCCATGGGATAGTGATGGAGGAGGGCAGTACTAGCCTTACCAGTCAGATCAGCAACTTCAACTTAGTGATCTAATGGGGTATCAGGGACACAGATATTTCATAGTATTTTCCAATTGGAATTATATAGAAGAGAAAAATGTCTATTTTCTGATTCTGGTACAATGCCGAGTGGTCTGTTTTGTTTTTCATTTTCCCCTCAGTGTTTGTGGATGTTAGGCTAGCCCTAACTGCTGTGTGTTCGTGTAGCAGCATCTACTGGAAGATAGTTTCCAGTGTCTTAAGTAATACGAGAAAGAGTTATTTGATTTTACTACATTTTCCTTTAATCAGGTTGATTCAAACAAAGACCGATTGCTGACTCTAGAAGAGTTTTTGAAAGCTACAGAAAAAAAGGAATTCTTGGAGCCCGAGAGCTGGGAGGTAATAGAACCAACTTGAAATGGGATGTACGGTTCAAGACATTCTACGTCAGTCCTTTCTACTTTAAACTTTTATTCCCTATTATGTGTGCATGTATCTTCTTATTAATTTGGCTTTTCATGTAAAATGTCACTTTAAAATAATGAACTTGATTTCTTAGAAAGCTTGTGGCAATTGATCTCTTATTTGTAATAACATTACATATTAATAGAAGTCTTTTAGGAGGAGAGATTTCTTTTTTGTTTTGGTCTCACTTTTTAGATTTTTTTAATCATTTTTTTTTACCATAAATATATGATTGTTTGGGGAGGGGAGATTTCTTTAGAAGTCTTTTAAAAATTACAAAATGTTCATTCTTAAAAATTAGAACTATAAATACACTTAAAGAATAAATTAGAAGCTACCTAGAGGTAGATACTAAAATTATATATTGTGTTATGCCAATATAGAAAGAGCTTATATATTTAGTATATGCCTTTATAGCATACAAGGTATAGTGTACAGTCCCATCTTTAATTTACATATACACATAAATTCATAACTATATATGAGGTATGTCTAGAAAGTATCCAGCCATGTACTTTGAAAAAGATACAAGATACAAGAAACACTGTATGTAGGACATTGATGCTTCAGTTCCCTTCCAGTTAAGTATCTTGGGACCTCTCACAGTTCTCTCAATCACCATCAGCTGCCCTCTCATATTTTCCTGAATCTCACTGACAGACTAAAATCTCTTCCTTTTCAAAGGTGATTTTAATTTTGAGAAAAGCCAGAAGTCATAGGGTGCCAAATCGGGGCTGCAGTGGGGCTGAGTCATCTGGGTGATTTGATGTTTCTCTAAAAACCTCTACACATGATGTGATGCATGAGTGGGGACATTGTCATAATGAAGCTGCCAGTCACCAGTTGCCCATACCTGCAGCTTTCTGAATCATCCAAATAGTTTCCAAGGAGGAATGTTCAAGTTAATGAAAAATTTGATGCAGATCTGATGCTCTAGTCAGTCATTTTGAATGTGATGGCCACACAGCACACATGCTCACTCAATGGGGTCTACTACCCCCACTGACTAGTACAGTGAAGTTGTCATTGTTCACATATGCGCATTCCAGTTCATGGTGACATCAATGTCATGCAAACTGTTCTTGTTATATTAGCAATGGTTGGACTTGTTCTGGACAGACCTCATATTTTAAAAAATGCCTTTATACTATATAAATGGTTTTGTATATTTGTGAAATTCTGATTTTAAGAAGCCTATTAACATTTTCTGAACATTTTCCCATGCCATTCCCCCAAGAAATGAATTAAATAATGACTACTTAGCGTTGTGTGGTATAGCATAATTTATATGCTACATATAAATCATCCCTCCAGATTTAGACACTGTGGATCCATTCCACATTTTTTTTTTGCTGTAATAGATATCACTATTATAACTCTCCATTTGTTCAGACATTTATGGCATTTGTGACTTTCCTGGGAGCCCGTAATTCCTAAGAATAGAACTATTTTCAAAGTTTATAAATATTTTTAGTTTCTAAATATATCCATCAAATTGCTGCAGAAAAGTATGCCAATTTTTACCATAGCTAACTGTGTACAAATGATTGCATACACATCTTTACAAGAGTGGATGAAAAGGAAAAAAGAGTGGTTGAGAGGTACCAACCAAACTAGACTGAAGAAAGAACATTGTCTTTTTCTATGTAGAATATTTAAAAAAGGACTGCTATTTTCATTAGATGTTCATCTGTCCACGACATCATTTGAGATGGGTGACAGGCTGTCCTGGCTTACACAGGACTGAAGCGTTTCCCTGGGTGTATAACCAGGATGTGACCTTTCAGTGCCGACTCCAGGACAGTCTTGATGAATTGGGTCATCTCGGTTGGGGATCAGAGAAATCAGCTTCTTTTTGTTACATGTTTTTGTCTAACATTTGAAATATTTCTGGACTGTGGTGAAAAAAAATTCAAAAATTATTTAAAGATGCAGTCCCTTTAGTGCTCCCAGTGAACCAGATCAATAGATAATTGTGTACTTTTATTCATTTTGACATAATTTCAGATATACCAAAAAGTTGTAAGAGTAGACCAAGAACTCCTAAATATCCTTTATGAGATTTACTTTGCCTCCTTCTCTTTTTTCTTCCATTTTAAGTCTGTGTATATGTGTATGTATGTGTACATAATATACAATGATTTTTTAGAGTAAATTGTATACTATACCAGCATAACCTTAAATACTCAAATGTGTATTTCTTGCAAACAAGGATTTATCTTACCTAATCACAGTAAAATCATCAGTCCCATACACACAATATGCTCATCTGTAGACTTCACTGAGATTTTTGTCAATTTCCCCAGCATTCTTTTACAGCAAAAGAAAGCCCAAGATACTGCATTGAGCTTAGTTGTAATGTCTTTCTCGTGTCCTTTCATCTGAAATAGATCCTGAGGCATTCTGTCTCATGGCATTACTATTTCAAAAGAGTATAGACCCTATATTTTGTAAAACGTCCACCAGTTTAAGTGTATCTGCCATTTCCTTAGGATTCCTGCCCTCGAAAGCAATATAAATGAAGGGATGCTAAATACATCGTATCCGGACACATATGTGCTGATTATCCCCATAGCTGGCAATGATAACTGTGATTATTTGGTTAAGGTGGTGTCTCCTGGCTGTTCGCACTGTAAAGTTACTATTTTACCTTTTGCAATGTAAAAAAGAATCTTGTCAAACCCACCGTATTGCCAGAACCAGAAGTCAGCTTTAAAAAATTCCTTCTACATCATGTGAAAAGTCTTTCCAAATACTATTTGTAAACATTATTCTCATACCTGTGGGGTGCTTAACTATTTCCTTGGGCTTAGACATTCAGTCTGCTACTATTATTTTTTAAAGTGCTGTTATAAACACACTTTTGTATAAAGCTTTTTGTATGTTTAGGGTTATTTTGTAGAATAGGTTCTCAATGTAGCGTTACCAGTACCAAGGGAATATATATATTTTAATTTTATTTATTTATCTTTAGAAAGGAAGGGAAGGAGAGGGGGAGAGAAATATCAAAGTGTGATTGCCTCTTGTGTGTCCCCTGCTGTGAACTGACCTGCAACCCAGGCATGTGCCCTGACTAGGAATCGAACCGTGATCCTTTGGTTTGCAGGCCTGTGCTCAATCCACTAAGCTACACCAGCCACCGCCCAAGGGAGTATTTTTAAGACCGTTAACATTGTAAAGTATTGAAAGAATTGTACTAATTTACATTTCCCCTAAACAAAATGAGAGTTCTGGTTTTTTTTTAGTGTATTTTTAAGGATATACTTTGAGGCTTACTGTCAATGGTTTTAGCACCCACTGTCCTGACTGTGGTCAGCATCAGTTGTTACTGCGACTGTTGACAAATGTGATTTTTGAATCGTCATTCATTCTGCATTTATTGTTTGACTTTCTGTTGGATAAGCCATCCCTTCCCCCTTCTCTTCCTGTTTATTTCACTGTAGACTTGTGGCTTCTTGTTTTATTCAGTAAGCCTGAATCCTTTCTATCATTTATTTTGATGCTCAAATTGTTCCATATTTGGGTAAAGGGAGTTTCTTCAAACTGGTTTTTGGGGTCTTTTACATGTTCTCATCATACTTTGAGAACTTTCTTATTTTTCAGCATAAGACGTTCAAGGCTGTCCTTGTTCTCTTGTCCTTCTCTGTTCCATTTCTGAAATGAGTCATTTTTCTGAGGAGCACTTTTTTTGTTGTTGTTTGTTTGTTTTTTAGTGAGATTGGTATTTCAGACCAGGATTTGGGTGCCAAATGTGCTCCTTGCTACTGAATTATCCTTGCTTCTAGGCCTGGCCAGATAACAAAGTTGAGGAATTAAAAAAATTTTTAAAAATATATTTTTATTTATTTATATTATGTGTATATACATCTGTACACACATATTTGCACACACATGTAGAGACATACCTATACACATTTATATTTATTTTTATATATGTATATTTAGCTATCAATATATATTAAAACTCATACATTCACACTATTTTCTTAAATTTTAATTGAACACCTTCAATTCCAATACATTTTATCTTTTTCTATAATTCATACAAAACCTGGATCCCATTTTCCACAATAATATTCCACTTTCTTGCTCAGTACTAGCATGCACGAAGCATTTTAGAATCAGTAATCCATGCCTCTGCCAAAGAAGAGTTTAAGATTTATTTAGATTTTTTGCTGTTTTTTTAACCTGAGGGCATGTACTCCAAATACCCTGATCAGAAGTTCCTTGGGTTAGTTCTTTTTTTCCTCCCCCTTCTGTCAGTTATTTTATTCACTTAAGATAAAAACGTTACTTACTGGCTTCTGTTTGTATTCAATTGGGGAATTTTTCTGTCCCTGTGGATTTTACTTATTCATTTGTGTTTTTTGAGTATGTGAAACAGTGACATGTTTCTGAAATTCCAATCTGTACAAGAAAGCGTATTCAGACAAGTGTGATTTCCTTTCCTTCACTCCCTTCGTTCCTTCCACCCTGTGTTCTCCTTTGTTCTGCAGGTAAACAATCTCATTAGTCTCTAGGGTTTTCTTTTTCTCAGATGAGTACATAAATATATGGTTTCTTATTTCCCCTTCTTTCTTACCTAAAAGGTAGAATACTATATTCTATTGTACTGTGAAAATCATAGAATTTTAAAGGTGAATCAGACCTTGTGGATATCCACAAGGTGTGATTCCCGTTTAAAATACATATATATACACACATATATATGTATATACATATTTATTTATTTATTTGAAGATGTTGCCATCACTGGGAAGCTATTTTTAAACATTTATTTGTTGATATTAGAGAGAGGAAAGGAGAAAGAGAGAGGGAGAGAGAGGAACATTGCTTTATTGTTCCGCTTATTGATGCATTCATTCATCGGTTGATTCTTGTATGTGCCCTGGCATGGGATGGGGGTTTGAACCTGCAACCTTGGTGCATGGGGATGATGCCCTAACCAACTGACCCACCCAGCCAGGGCCTTAGGTTACATTTCTAAGATTATTATTCTTCATTTTTTTCTTTTTAGACATTAGATCAGCAACAGTTCTTCACAGAGGAAGAACTGAAAGAATATGAAAGTCTAATCTCCATACAAGAAAATGAACTGAAGAAAAAAGCCGATGAGCTTCAGAAACAGAAAGAAGAGCTACAGCGTCAGCATGACCAGCTGGAGGCGCAGAAGCTGGAGTATCACCAGGTTGTATCGCGTAAGAGGACGGTGGCAGGAGGTGCTCTCCTAAAAGCCTGTGCTGTTGTAATATTTCAGTGTAGGATTAGCTACAGTATTTTGAATCTTGGTGTTTTTTAAAATTGCTTTGTGGAATATTAATCTAAATTTTAGAATTGGAATATCGCATTTTGGAAAATAATTTTCATCGAGTGTGTTGTCATTTGTCAAACGTCACACATAGAAGAGACAATTGAATAATAACACATTTTAAAACATTCTTTTTCCATTCCCCAGGTTGTACAGCAAATGGAACAAAAAAAATTACAACAAGAAATTTCTCCATCAGGGCCTGGTGGACACTCGCAGCTCGAGCCACGTATGTAATTTTTTTTGCTTATTTGTTTGTTTAAGGAAATAAAAATAACTGGATAAATTGAAATCTACATTTGTTATGAATATCATTTCAAATTATTAATATCTATGCTATTTGCTATACATTTGTAGAAATAGAGCACCTTGTATTACAGAAAAATGAAAAGGTCTCTATTTTATTTATCTGTACATTGTAACAGCTATATAATTTGATATCCATATTTATGGTGAAGTGATTTATTTCAACATTGTTTATAATCCTTATTATTTATTGATATCAGAGGACATGTTTTTTTCCGATTTATTTATGTATTTTACCATAGCCTCCGTTCCGACTTTATTCACAGTTATAGTTTTACAATACTTGGTACAGTAAGCATTCTCCAGCCAGAGAGAATATCCATTTCCATAAAAGATGCAGGTGAAAAAAACACAGGTTATCTGCATAAGCCTGTTTGAACATTCCAGTGTTCATAATCCCATCAACCCTTTTGTGAGGCAAACAAGCTTTCTGTTCTCTCAGTCTAATCATAGCCCACACCAAGCCTTTACCAGTGGGGCTCTCAAGTCATAAAGTCCAGAAACTTCTCTCCTCTGCCTCCTGACCATTTTACCAACTCTGGTGCAAATGCTTAGGCTCCTCCTCGGGGGGGGGGGGGTATTGAGTCAGGGGACCCTGGTCCTTTGGCCAGCCTTCATCTATTTTCACCTTCCTAAACATCACTCCATGCAGTTTCAGGTCAAATGTCTCATCATCAGTTTTGAATCTTGGCTTCCAAAATGTCTCTCAGCCAGAATAAGTAAAGTGGCTTTGTTTGGGGCCCTTGAGGTCCTACAGGAAAACGAACCTGGGCCGTGAAGCCACCTTCATTACTAACCCATTGAGTTGAGCAACTGCAGTTCAGCTCCGCTGTGGCCCCCCAGTGTGGGTACGTGGTCTTCACAAATGTGTCTTCCAGTGTCCCAAGCTGTTCCACTCTCAAAGTTGTGTGGTATTGGTGAGCAGACCTTGACTTTTCTGGTCCATTTTATGTAGAAGATCTATGTCGGAGGCCTTTTTCCTTCATACAGATACATGCTCAAAAAATCCAGCTTGCTGTCTAATCACCCACAATGTGAAGACAGGAGGTCAAACACCCAGATTTCACTTAGTTTTTTGGTGTCTGCCATAATATCTTGCAGAAGTAGAATGATCTGTTGTGTGTTTCTGAGCTCCTAAATTTGGTTTGTGTTGAACATGGTTTTTTAATCATGATCTATGATTAGCTAAGCATATTTAAAGAAACAAATATTATATATAAAGAAGATTCGGAATAAAGGAAGATACCTTTAAAATGAGAGTATATGTTTTTCTTAACAGTCACTTAACATCCGAAGTCCACCAGAACTTGGAAGAAAACTGTAAAATCAACGTCCATGTCATCTTCTTATCTCCCTTCCTCTTTCTCTACTCAATAAATATTTTAAAGCATATATGGAATAAAGGAAGGTACGTTTTATATGAGAACACATGTTTTTTTTGACACACATATTTAAAGATTGAAACCCTCCAAACCAGGAAGGAAACCTCCATATCTGCTCTCACTTTCATACCCCCCTTTTTTTCTTTGTTCTTCTTTAGCACTTTAATTAAGTGGCCTTCTGCCATAATGTAATGAAACTATCAGTAACTAAGTGAGAAAGCTCTCTGTTGCTTTGAAAGTAGATTGCTCTCACTCATGAAAATAGATATTCTTTTATCAGCACTTCTCATCCCCTCTCTTAATAAAAGTCTCTTTGATGTTCATAATTCTTCTCCCGAGAAGACCCTCACATCCCCCAGTATTCCCTGGTAACTTCCTCCTGACTTCCTCAGCTAGAAATTCTTCTACCGAGTGGCTTTTGCTACCTCTTCAAATCATTTTTCATTCATAGTTTTGCTTTATACTCTACCACTTAAGATCAGGTTTGCTACATATAACCAAAAACCAAAGATAACAGCGGTTTAAGCCAAGTAGGAATTTTTCATTTTTATATAAGAGAAATCTATAGGTAGGTTGTGTCCAAGTTCCTACCCTTCTGCTCTGCCCTCTTCAGGGCATGGTTTTTATCCTCAAGTTACCTCATCCGTACTCTCCAGGATTGCTTTTGGAGGCAGTAGAGGAGGGCAGGAAGGGGACTTTCTCCAGCTGAATCAGCTGCCCGTTGCAGTTTTCCAGGAGAACCCCCACAGCATTTGAACTTACATCTCATTGGCCCAAACTGAGTCACATGACCATCTTGCTGCTAGGGAAGGTAAGAAATCCTTGTGGCAATGTGACTAGCTAAAAGTTAGGATCTTTGACTAAAAAAGATGGGAAGAGACAATGTTTGGTGGGCAACTTTTAGTTTTAACCTAGCCTTGTTGGCTACCTAAATATCTATGTACACTCTTCTGAAACATAGAAAATGCTTCCCCCGCCTCAGAACAAAACCACTGAAATCCAGACCATTATTACACACAGTTCAACGACTATATCTCTGGCCATCTACAAAACTGAAAAGCAAGGCGCCTGCCTCTTGAGCTCCCTGTGTATCATGGCGGGATAGGTACAGGACAGCTGCCACAAAATGAACCTTTTTGAAAAGGGGAAGGTGGCAAACATGCAATCGCTGATCCACAGCAAGGTCTCTCTGCTCTGTTGGTAGATATATTCCCTGGCTTTCCCGTCAGGCAACTAATGATTCCCCTCTCTGGGAGGAAGTCCCTTGTCTGATGTCCTCAGGGCCCATGGCATTGTGCTCTCAGAAGTCTTTAGTGCCTGTTAATTTTTAAATGCACATCTGCATGGGCATTGGAAAGAGCACCTTTCTGGGAAGCCGGACAGTTCTAGCACTTCATTTCCCATTATTTTGGGTCTGGGGGCTTGGGGATTGCTTTTGATGGCTACAGCCTCTTGTAGGCTAGGTTTAAGGTTTTTATTTTGATTTTTGGCAAAACAGGACCCTAATAACTTAGTACATTTTTGGTCTGTTTTCTTCAGTTATTACCATGAGTAACCATAGTTTGTTAAGGTCTTGTCAAGGCATAGTTGTTTTCCCAAAGAAACCATGTTTACTTGCTGGCTTCTGTGCTCTCCAGGGATCTTAAATGAATGGCCCCTACTGGGGACCATTTACACCACAGGCTTGGGTGTGATGACAACAGGCTTTATTTGATCTTTTTCCTCAGGATGGCTCCCATTACTGGGCAGGACATTCTTAAGGGAGGGTCTTGAAAAAGGTTAAGGAAGTTTTAGCTGCTTCCTTAGAACCTTTACTTATGGAGTATGGTAGTACTTGACTTTATCAATTTTTCGAGGCTCCAGATTTAGGAGTCTATCCATTTGTCTTGTGGACAGACGACAAGTCCCTCGGCAAAGCTCTAAGCCTTTCCATCTCTGCCGACTTCTTAGCCTTAGCCTGAGTGGCATCTGTCTTTGTCGGACTTTGTGGAGCTGGGGTAGCTCCCTCATCCTACCGCCACTTTCCCTGATACCTTAACTTAGGTTGGCATGAGGTTCATGGCCCAAAGCCCGACCTTCTCAACTCAGCCTACTTCATATGTAAGATCCTTTTACTTGCTGCACCTTCCTTCTAGCTACCAAATTCTGTATAGGTCAAGATTCTTGGTTGTGGGTAAATGGAATCTTCCTTAGCTGTTAAACCGAATGGCATTGATGAAGGGGGAGAGACAGCTCACAGTGTCTTTGAGAGGGCTGAAGAAACAGACCCCAGGCTGAGTGCCTAGGAAGTACATCACAAGACAGGGCTGCCAAAGAAGCTATACTGCTTTTGGGACAATAGAGAAGCTGCCTGCCATCTTGGAAAGCTGCCTGCTGGATTAGGAAGATGTGAACTGTTGCCAGCTCCTGAGTCATATCACGGCTGCCCTGCTTCTTGTGGGCAAAAGCGGATACATCGTGTGCTGCCGCTCTCCCCGAGACTCTGTTCCAGGTGAAAGTCTTGGGTGAGTGTATCTGATTGTTGGGCCAGTCAGGCCTGGAGCCCTAGATGCAAGGGAGGTTGGGAAATAATAGTGTTTGATTTTCCTGCCTCTGTAGTGCAGGAACGCATGTGTAAAGTTTTGAAGTGAACCAATCCACTGTAACACCTCATAATTATACATTGTTTCTCTTCACATTAGTAATTTTTATGCTCTCAGTCCTCATTTCACAATTTTTGATAATTATTGCATATTCCTCCAAACATACTTCAGACTTTTTTCTTAAATCACAGATCCCAAAATTAAGTATAGAAATCTAGAAAAGTTCTGCTTATATTCAGCTTAAAAAAAAACAACAAAGCACAAAAGTCATTCAGCCAGGTAATGCTACTTTTTCTTCTTTTCTTTGTTGTTTTTTGAGATGAAGAATTCCTATCTTTATTGTTTAAATGGTAGGAAATATTAAAAAGTGGTCTGAAATTTCCTCATATTGTCTCCTGTATCTCCTGGGGACACTCTTTTAGATGGTGGACTGTGGTTAAATTGGACAGTCATTGAAGAAGACCTTGCAGAAATTTCTTAAAATGTTTTTTCACATGAATAAATGATGGATATTAACCTAGACATACCTCACAGTTTCCAGCAAATTATTGTAATTTATATTATTTTAAAAAGAATTGCTAGCTAAAATCACTTACAGACTTAAGAAATTGCAATTCTGTGAGTCCTGGGCACTTGTGAGTGAATATTATTTCTTAGAAAGTAACTAATAGTTCTCTCTCTGGCCCTGTTAGAAAGCATCGGTCCTGTGTTTACCATTCTCCTTCCTACCTCATTAGATGTGAGTCTTTGCTCTCAGCATAATGCTTATTTCACTGACTTAGTGGTATGTATCAGTAATTTGGGTTTTGTTTCATATGTGAATTTACATGAAGCATGTTAACTTTATAGTATACTTAGGTCTATGTAATTAAAATTTCATTTTAAAAGATGATGGTCCACTATAATTTTTAACTCTCACTAAAGAAAACTGCTGTGTAGAAATGGCAGTAAAAATCCTTTGAGATGTGTCTACACATTTATTTTAACCAAGACTTGTTCATAATGGCATAACTTAGAATCACTAAATGTATTTGGAGAATTAGGCAGAAAAACAGCTACATTTCATTTTTACTAATGTCTACAGTTTTCCCTGCAGAGCTTTTAGCATTCATTTTAACTGATGTCAATCACATTCTTGATGATGAACGTCACTCACCTGCCTGGTTATTGCCACCCCTTGCCTGTACGCTAGCCCTTACACGCTAGCCCTTCCGGTGGTCTTCAAAGCTCTGCGTGCTTGGAAACAAGTTTTCCTTTGTTTATAATGTGTATGCAATCTATTGTAGACAATAGCTTTGACTTTTCCTGTGTACATTTTCTTACTTCCTTTTGTTTCATCCTCAGTGATATTTCCCAAGACTTTCCAGGATTATGAAAATGTATCTTGTTATTAAAATATTAAAATATTTTATTTTTAATAAAGTAAATTTTTTATTTTATAATTTATTTTTATAATTCTTTGTGTGTGTGTTTTTAATTTAATTATTTTTCAAGTACAGTTTTCTGTCTTTTACTCCCAACCCAGCCCACCCCCACCCCCCACCCCCGCTGCCCACCTCCCTCCCATTTCCACCCCCCTTAGCTATTGTCCATGTGTCCTTTATACTAGTTCCTCCAAATCCCTCCCCTTTTTCCCCTGAAATTCCCTCCCCTCTCCTCTCTGGTTGCTCTCACCCTGTTCTCTATTTCAGTGTCTTTGTTTTTATTTTGCTTGCTTGTTTGTTTTGTTGTTTAGCTTCCTGTTAAAGGTGAGATCATATGGTATTTGTCTTTCAACACCTGGCTTATTTCACTCAGCATAATGCTTTCCAGTTCCATCCATGCTGTTGCGAAGGGTAAGAGCTCTTTCTTTATTTCTGCTGCATAGAATTCCATTGTGTTTATGTACCATAATTTTTTGATCCATTCATTTACTGATGGGCACCAAGGTTGCTTCCATCTCTTGGCTATTGTAAATTGTGCTGCTATGAACATTGGTATGCATAGGTTCTTTTGGATTGGTGTTTTAGGGTTCTTAGGATATAATCCCAGAAGTGGAATTGCTGGGTCAAAAGGCAGGCCCATTTTTAGTTTTCTGAGAAAATTCCATACTGTTTTCCATAATGGTTGTACCAGTCTGCAATCCCACCAACAGTGAACTAGGGTCCCCCTTTCCCCACAAGCAGAAAAAACCAATGCAGAGGTAACTAGGAAAAGTATAAGAAATTCCATAGATTCAGTTATGTTAAACAAAGGTTATTTTGACCAGGAGAGCCATTAATCAGACAATTAGAAATAGCTGTATGTACAGAGTTTTAAATGTCTTATTGATGAATAAATGTTTATTAAAGTTCTCAGAATTTGGCACGGGTCAAAAGGATACGCTAGACTGAACAGTGGTTATAGGAAATTTATTACAAGGCCTTTGTGGTGTCTAACTTAACTATCTATCTTCCTGTCTAGAATCTTACTTTATGTACTTTGGACTCTAACTCTTTAGCAATTGTTTCTACGTGCTCAGTTTGTAATAGTTAACCAGCTTCTCCTGTTTTTTAGCCTGTCTAATTCTATAAATATAAATTCCAGTCCAAGGTAGAGGAGGGGCTGTTACTCCATCAACTTTTAGACATTCAGGGGCTACTCCATTAGGGGGGACTTTGTTCTATGGCCAAGAAATCATTCTGTACAACCTCATTGGAATTCTGCGGATCTTTGGGCCTGAAACACAGGTATCTAAAAATCCCACCACCTATTAATCGCAAAGACAAACATGCAAGGAGAGATAGACTGGAAATCCAGCCACAGTTGCCTCTGCTGTGCAGATGCATCTCATCCGTCCTGACTGTGTCAAGGGACAGCTGTTAGTCGGCTCGCAACCGTGTAGGATGTTGTAGGTACCTCACTGTCTATCTTAAAGTTCCATAGCCACCAGCTTCATGGGGCCTATTTTCAGGCCTTTCAAATGAATTTTTCCCTCCCCTCACAATCCTGAACTATCTGTCTCTTCTGTAAGAGAGTCTGTTGTACTACTACTAATTACTAATTAAGATATTGATGTGACATTATTAAAATAGGATTAATTTCCAAAAGATTTATGTAAAAGATAAAAAAGAGGCTAAATGCTTTACTTTAAGAACATTTTGAAGCCAGTTAATGCCCCAAATGACTGTTTCACTCTTTTGGGATGGCCCTGGTGACTTCTGGATAGTTCTGCCTGCACCTCTGTTTAGTTTTAGGGGCCCAGAATGGAGGCTGGAATATTGCCGCCAAGGTGGACGAAGGAGCCCCTTTTCAGGGAAGGTTTTTCTTTCTCCGAAGTTGTTAGTCCGGCATCCATTAGCCCCCACGGAAGGCATAATAAGGCCTTGCCAATTTCAAAGTGTCTGTCTGTGTACCAATTAATATGGACTCTAAGTGAAATATCATATTTTTGGAAGGCACATGTGTGTGTTTGTATGTAAGCCTGTGCCTAAAATATGTCTGGAGGGAAGACTGTTAGTTATTCCATGTGTTCTGGAATTTAAACATGAAAAACCTTTTTTATCATTATTGCTTTTCCTTTTGATGAGTAAGATCACTGCTGCTTAATCCATATTGTACCAATAATTATTGTTATAAAAACCATCTAATAATGGTGATTGATACATCCTATTGTAAAGTCAGGATTGTAAAGACCTTTTACTTTGTTGTTACTACTTTGAGGGGATTTCAAAATTTTTTAAATTTAAATGTTGAATCAAAATTTAACCTTTTGTAAATATGTAGCCAAAAATACTCAGTTAATTTTAAACTTTGGAAAATTTTTAGCAGTCTTAAGTGTACTTAATTCTTCTTGGCTTATTCAGATAATTGGACAATTTTTAAAACTATAAGGAAATAACTGGATTTTAATTTAATCAGGAAGACACAGACTTTACACAATTTGTTATATTTGAATTCATTTGTTGACTATGTTGTGAAAATTCTTTCAGTGCAATATTTGTCAGAAAGTATTCTAATTATTTGTATAGGTTCATTTGTAATTATTTAACTATATAACATCAGAACAATGTGTAACATTTGGTGTAATTCTGGGGGGAAAAGACAAATTTGATAACTGGTGAAAGAATGCATTGTGTGCAAAACACTAGCATTGTAGAGTCACAGAGTCTCAGGGCCTTAGAGATCGCTGGCCCATGAAGGAGCCCCTCATCCAGGATGTCCCAGGAGACTCCTATTCATTCCCTGCTTCCGTTCTTCTCATGACAGCGCTGACATGGAAGTCACAGTGGTTTCCAGGTATGTCTGCCTAAGGGAATCACCTAAGAGCTTCAAAACACCTGGGTGCCTTCATCCCATCTCCAGGGATGATGGCTCCTTTCTTTTGTAGTGTGGCCTGGGCTTTGGAAGTTGCAAAAGATCTCCAGGTGATCCTAATGTGAGGATGAATTTGGTAACTGCTGACAAATCATGTGGAAAACCGCATCAACTGTTTTCAACATCAGAGAAGCTGCCCTGGAAACCTGGGCAGAGGAAACATGACTAATGTTATGAAGTTCTTCTACAAGCATTTCGATGTCACTCCAGAGGATGTATAGTTACGCACATGCACACTCCAGTGCTTGTGTAATATGGAGAAAACATTTATTTCCACTTACATTCAAGAACCATTTAATATGGGACTAGGTGTAAGGACCCTGGCTCTGTCATTTTCTAACTTCAGTTGACCCTTGAACGACATGGTTTTGAACTGTGCAGGTCCATTTAGATGTGGGTTTTTTCCCCAATAAATACTGTAAGTGTATTTTTTCTTCCTTGTGATTTCCTTAAAGTTTTCTTTTCTCTAGCTGCCTGAATTGTAATACTATAGTACACAAAACATAGAAAGTACATGATAATCTACTGTTTATGTTATTAGTAAGGCTTCCCGTCCACAGAAGGCTGTTAGTAGTTAAGCTGAGGGGGAGTCAAAAGTCACACGTGATTTTCAACTGTGCAGGAGGTCAGCATCCGAACCCTTGCACTGTTCAAGAGTCAACTGTATATGATGTTTTTCCTTCTAAAGTCTAGAGGAAAAAGTCTAGAAGTTTTAGAATGTGAGTGTTCATTTTTTTCCTCTAACTTTTCAATTTGAAATCATTTCAGACTCGAAAAACTTGCAAAAATGGTAGAGAATTTCCATATCCCCTTCACCTTCTAACATTTGGAGAAGTGTTTAGCTTCTCCAAATGTTAGTATCTTATAATGTTATTAAAATCAGGCAATTGAAATTAATACAATTCTACCAACTAATCTGCTAATTTTGCCAATTTTCCCACTAAAATCTTTTTTTTCTAGGCCAAGAGCTGATCCAGGATCACACTTGCTTTTAGTTGTGTGTGTGTGTGCTTGTAAATGTTAACTTTGAAAAAAAAGTCACACCGAACCAGAAAAAAAATTACAACAGTACAAATAATCCTCATATGCCCATTTCTATATTTATCAGTTGTTAGCATCCTTGCACATTTGTGCTCAAGCTTTCTCTCTTTGTGTAATTCTTTTTTCTTTTACTGAAGTTCTTCAGACATTGTGATCCTATACCCTAAATATGTGAGTATTTCCTAAGAACAAAGACTTTAACCCTGGCTGGGTAGCTCAGTTGGTTAGAGTGTTGTGCCGATATACCAAAGTTGCGGGTTCAATCCCTAGTCAGGGAAGGTTCACAAATAATGGAACAACAAATCCATGTTTCTCTCTCTCTGTCTCCAAAATCAATTAAAAAAACCAAAGACATTACTTTGTAATAACCATCTTATAATGATTAAATTCAGGAAATTTTACATTGTTACAATACTATTAATCTAATATATATTAACAGTACCCACCATTTGTCCTAATACTATCCTTCGCAGGCATTTTTTTTTCGATTTGGGATCTGGTCCAGGATTAAGCTTTGCCTGTCGTTGGCGTGTCTTTCATTCCCTCGACCTGGCACAGCTCCTCGGCCTTTGTGTTTCACGACATGGGTATTTTTGAAGAGCACAAGTCAGTTGTTTTATAAAACAAAGGTTTTTTTTTTTAAAATTTATTTTATTTCAGATAGAAGGGAAGGGAGGGAGGAAGAGGAGGAGAGAAACATCAATGTGTGGTTGCCTCTTGAGCACCCCCAACTGGAGACCTGGCCCACAACCCAGGCATGTGCTCTGACTGGGAATCGAACCAGTGACCCTTTCGCTCACAGGCCAGCACTCAATCCACTGAGCCACACCAGCTGGGGCAAAAACAAGTTTTAATGAGAAAAAAAAAATCAGTCCTAAATGGGTTGGACATTTTCGTCACAAGGGTTGTTTGTCACAGCTGCTTTCACCAGTACTGGTCTTGATTAGATTTCTGAGGCTAAGGACTATGCTTTACTTCACCCCCGACAGACCGTAGCAGGCAGAGTGCAGCAAATGGCGGCTATGGGGTGACTTGAGGCAGACCAGCACGGAGCAGAGCAGGTCCAGGGCAGAGCTGTCTAGCTGCGGAGGCTGCCTTCAGGCACTGGACTGAGCATCCTGGGGATATAAATTGAGCTGCTGGTTTAAGTAATGGAAGCTTTCTTAAAAAAACAAAACAAAACATAAGTTTATCAGGTCAGGCAGCATAGTAAGAAGCTAGGAAAATTCCTTGGCAAGTGGAATGCAGAAGCTGAGACAAGATAATTAAACAAGGCCAAGCAATTTCACCAATTTACAGCTAGCTAGTGAATTATAAGACCTTATCTTCCCTAACCAAGGACACCTGAAAACAAATGGTTTCTACCTCTCCTCCCTGGCCACAGAAAAGTTTCAGTCACCTGGTCAGGGAGAAAGAGTACAGAGGCCCAATTAATGCTATTTGTGCCAGCCAAACCCAAGAATGGATGGAGTCAGGGGAACAAATAACAAAAAACTCGACTAGAGCCAGACAGACCCAAGACAAAAGTAAAGCGGTGTAGCTGACCAGAGAATAATGCTGAACTCCCCTATGGCATCATTTTGATGCATTAGCATATTCACACAGCTAGAAAGCTGATGAATATTCTACTGAACCTCTCCCCTAAGATTCTCATCCACACAAGATCAAAAACCCTCAAGACAAAGGATGCCAGCGGATCCTCGCTCTGGAACACGCCAGTGCCTTTTCTTTGGGCATTGAACTTTACTTTTTTCTCCTGAACTCTAAGAGTACCCATGACACTTGAAACCAGGGGAGCAGTGGGCAGCAACAGCTGTCCTGGGCTTATCCCTGAACCTGTCTCCAAGGTCAACTCTTTTCTATTTCATGCTAGTGAACTAACTTCAGCCTGCCTAGGGTAATTTCTTTGCTTTGTAACGTTGGTAGGGAGCCAAAGCACAACCTCCCAGCCTCTCTTGTTGCTCCCTCTACCCTAAGCCCTCCCTTATTTCACCGTCAGCAGCTTTAATAAAGGAGCTCTCAAACTCATGTGGAGTCAAGTATGAAATCTTTCCTCCAGGCAGTCAGGAGTCCATATTTTACGTGCCAGCCTGGGGAATACTCACTCCAATAGTTTCCTAAGACCAGCGCACCACGGCCGCCTTGCAATGGGGGGGGGGGGGGCGGCAGGGGAGCAGTCACTGCCAATAGCAGCGGGTCCAGTGATGTCATCACCAATAGCGGAGGGGCCAGTGATGTCATCGGCAATGGCGCCGTGAAACGTCATGGTTTGTTTCTAGAAGGAGGTGTGACTCTCCGCAAAGCTCAGCCGGAGGCTGGTTGGCAGCGGCTTGACCGGGGATCCGCGGAGAGATTGCGGGGCGGGGCCGGGCCAGCGCCTTCCAGCATCGGATTGCAGAGCCTGTTAGAAGGTGTAGAGGGTACACGTGCCCCGAGAAAGGAGATTTCTTCGCTCGCCGCGAACTGCCCATTGCCTATTAAGATCGGGCGCTTCGCTCTACAGGAAAAAACTTCTCAGGCGGCCACCTAGACAGGGACCCAGACTGGGGCCCCTGCAGATCCAAACCCAGGCCCAAACCAGGCAGCCAAGGCCCGAAACTGGCATGGCCGTGGACGCGGAGGCGGCAGCAGCCCGTACACTGTGCGGTTTTATGCGGATGCTTCTGGTCCTGGTTTTGGGGCTCCCGGCGCTCCGCGCAGGTAAGACCTAAGCGAGGTTGGGGGAGGGGCTGGGGGGGTTGGAGGATGGAAAAGGTGCGGTGTGGTTGTCGCTAGCTGCTCTCTGGTGGACCCCTTCCAGAGTCCTGAGTCCGAGCTCTACTTTTTGAAGTTAGTTTCATTTATTAATTTGACAATTAAATAATGATGCCGTCAGCACTTGTAGGAGCCTGTAACTGCCTCCTTCAGGTTGAGTGCTCTGTGGATTATTTATTATTTATTTTTTAAGTATGTTGTATGGAGTATGCTTTTACAGTTTTCCCAATTTCCCTCCCCCTTATCTCTCCTCCGCCCTGCGCCCCCCAACCCTCCAGCATTCCCCCACCTTAGTTCATGTCCATGGGTTGTAAGTTCTTTGACTTCTCCCTTTCCTGTCATTCATAACTTCTCCCTATTTTATGCCTACCAATTATGCTTCTTATTCTCTGTACCTTTCCCTCCCCCACTGAAAGCCCTGCATGTGATCTCCATTTCTCTGCTTTGTGGATTTTAGCGCCTCTATTGCATCATTGTAGATGCTGGAATTCAGTGAATCATCTAGTGTTTTACCAAAGTCTTTACTGAGAGTGAGTGGTGATATTCAAACCAAAAGTTTCTCCAGACTATTTTCTTTTTAATTTTTCATTGCACCATAAACGTTATTCCATGCAAAGGATGAAAATCTGCTACTGCCTTTTTTCTCCTCATCTTTGCAAAGATTTAGGAGTCATTTCTGCCTTGCCTTGATAGCTCGAATCTACTTTCCAACACTGCTAAATGTGTTCACTAGTAAGTCAGACAAGATGGGGACTTTTAAACAAAGGTCTTTATTTTAAAAAAGAAGAAAGGAAGAAAAGAAAATCTGCTCCTGAAACAGAGAGCTCAAGTTGGATAATGAAAATGACAATTAAAGAAATGTATTGGGCTGGCCAAAAAGTTTGTTACATTTTTTCTGGAAAATAACGTTTTTCATTTTCACCAATAACTTTATTGTTGGATATTTTGAGTATGTCGGCTATCTCCCACTATTGGATTCTAGTGGATAGAGGCCATGAGTGCTGCTAAACATCTTCCAATGCATAAGGCAGCCCCACAGCAAAGAATTATTTGGCCAAAATGTCAGTAGTATCAAGAAACTTTGTAAATCACTTTTAACACATCTGGATCAGTCACAGCACCTTCTCCATATACTGCACAAATCTTTTTTTGTTTCAATTGTTTTTTACCTTTATTGAAATGATGAAGCATAATATGCCAAAAATGCTGCGTATCTTCTTCCATCTTCAGTATTAAAAGGCTGCACAAAAATTCACCAATTTTGCTAAGTTTTTTTAAAATGCACACTGATATGACAGCTGTCACAATACAATGTAACAAAATTGTTTCAAATGAAGTTAAAAACAACTAAGTACTAGTAGAGCCATCATACAGAAAAAAACTAAATGAGCTTTTTGGCGAATACAATATTAGCATAAGATTAAAGCCCCCACCTGGCAAATGCCTGCCATGGGCACTACACAAAAGGCATGTCTACAAAGTCCCTTTGTCATGCCCTACAACCACCCCTAAATTACTTTGGGCCGCTGGGTGGAAGGGGTCCTGTAAACATTCTTGCATTCACATACTCCCCCCCTCATCTCATTTCTGTCTGGTTGTCTTTGCCTCATCCTCTACCCTAGCCATCTTGTCAAATTCTCTTACTACTTTCTCATTGCTCAAATGCATACCATGTATGGCCTCTTTGTATTCCTTGAATCTTAAACATTCCTTCATTTCACTGTACAGTTTTCCACATTGAGATGTCGCTGCCTTTTCCTGTCCTGCAGGAGTTCTGGACAGGTCCCTCCTTGTCTAGCCTAGCCAAGTGCTGAGAACAACAGACACGCAGACCTTTTCCCTGTCCATTCCCCCACCTTCCTGCCCATTCCAGTGTTCTGCTGGCGGTGAGGAAGACCCTCACACTGACCTGAGAGAACTGGGAGCAACAAGTAGGAGTTTGCAGACAGTGCAGTGTTTCTGTTTAATTATTGAACAAGAAACCAAAAGCCTGAAAAGCATATGAAGAGGTATTTTAAGTCATTACTAACGAGAGAACAAAAGTTAAAACAATAGTAAGATATCACTTGACATTTATTAGACTGGCCCAAACAGACTGGAGGATGCCAAGTGGTGGTGGTGGTGATACAGGAATCTAGACCCTATGGGTGTCCATCAGTGGGGCTATAGATGAGCCAGATGGTGGATGCCCACCATCAAGCAAAGGACTAGCTGTACACACAGCAGTGTGGACCAGTCTGGAAAGCAGAGCGCCAAAAGGAGAACCAGCCCTGGCCACTGTGGCTCAGTTTGTTGGAGCATCATCCCCTACATGGAAGCTTGAGGGTTCAGTCCTGATCCGGGTGCCTCCTAGAGGCAACCAATCACTGCTTCTCTCTTATCAGTGTTTCTCTCTTCCTCTCTAAAAGCAATGGAAAAAAAAAAAAAACAAGTCCTGGGGTAAGGATAAAAAAATGATAATAAAAAGAGGAGAAACAATGACATATAACTTAATACTATTTCTGTAAGTTTGAGAAACAGAATACAACAGTTTTTTTTTAATCCTCACCTGAGGATATGTGTTTATTGATTTTAGAGGGAGAGGAAAGGTGGGGGGAGAGAGAGAGAGAGAAACATTTATATGAGAGAGAAGCATTGATTGGTTGCCTGCCATATGTGCCCTGACTGGGGTTTGAACCTGCAACCTTTTGGTGTATGAAATGACGCTACAGTCACAAGTGAGCCACCTGGCCAGGGCAGAACAAGACAGTTTTAAAGAGAACAAAAATATAGATATTAAACATCTTAGGTTGGTTGCCTTACGGGGGAGAGGAACGGAAATAAAAAAGAATATATATTCTTTCTATAAATGTGCAATGAGCAATCTGAACACAAAATTAATAAAATAATTTTATTAATAGTATATATTATTATAAATATACTATGATAGTATGTAATTATATATAAATTATAGTATAATTTTTATATAGTATCATCAAAAAGAATAAAATACTTAGGAATAAATATATACCCATACATTGTGAGGATACCCTAAAACTTATACTCTGAAAACTATAAAACTATTGTTGAAAGAAATTCAAGATGGTATAAATAAGTGACATGGAAAAACATCTCGTCCCAGTCTTCTCAGACTACCTAAGCAAATGCCTTGGACTGAGTGGCTTAAACAACAGAAATGTATTTCTCATAGTTCTGGAGGCTGGGAAGTCCAAGACCAAGGTGTCGACTGCTTTGTTTTTGGTGAGAGGCTTATTTCTGGCTGGTTCATGAACACCTTACTCTGTCCCCAGGTGTGGAGAGGTTATTTGTTTCATCCGTCTCCTGTCTCATGTAAGAGCACTGATCCCATTCAGGAGGGCTCTACCCTCATGACCTAATTGACCCCCAAAGGCCCCTCCCTCAAACACCTTCACACTGAGGATTATGAATTTCGGAGGGGCTCAGACACTATGTCCATAGCACATCCCAGAAACCCATTCATGGACCAGGAGACAACAGTGTTAAGATGGCAGTACTCCCCAAACTGATCTACAGATTCAGTGTGATTCCTATTAAAATCTCCGCTGGCTTCTTTGGAGAAATTAATAAACTGATTCAAAAATTTCTATGAAATTGTAAGAGACCCAGGACAGACAAAACAATCTTGAAAGAAAAGAACAAAGTTGGAGGATCTTATGTGGATTAACGAGAGGCCATAAACTGAGGGCCTCTGTATGGGAGACACCCAGCCGAAAAAGGAATTTGTTTCCAAGTACATGGTAGTGTTTGAGAGTGCAAGCCCTGTGTTTTTTCCCCAAGGTTCTCCCATAACTGAGTTTTCTTGTTGCCACAGATTCCTTGAGAGTGGAGATGGCAGGGGAGACACAGACTGTGTTGCTGAATCACAATGCCACCATCTCCTGCTTGGTCCTTGGTACTTCACAACTGGACATCAAACATATGGCTGTTACTTGGTTTCGGAAGAATTCAGTGAATGGAACATATGTCAGAGTGTTTGAGTTTTATGGAGAGCACCAAGAGGCACGCCGATCAGGAGCTGATGTGTCTCTTCAGGGGCTGGCGAAGGGGAATGCCTCCCTGCAGCTGCCTGAGGTCCAGCTGTGGGAAGCAGGAGAGTACCGATGTGAGGTGGTGAATACCCCTTATAAAGACCAGGGGACAATCTTTCTGAAGGTTGTAGGTGAGTGCCTGGTGGTGGTGTCCTGTGGTTCCCTTGATGGATGGGCCAAGTGGAACAAAGGTTTGGGGCATGGGCCTAAGAGTCAGGTAGACATGGGTTTGATTCTGGGCTCTCATGGACACCTGGTCAACTTAAGGCAAGTTATTACTCATGGTGAACCTCAATGTCCTTTGCTCTAAACGAATGTAATGGTACCTACCTAAGGGATTGAAAAACACTTAGTGTAGTGCTTGGCCCAGTAGAGGTGCTTGGTGGAAGAAGTCCCTAGTAATTATCACGTAGTTCACCTGGTGCGCGGACAGTTCACTGAAGAGGAGCCTCTGAAAGGCAGCTGGGAACAGATGTGAATCCTATTCTAGCTGGGCTGCTTCCAAACCGGGCGATACGGCCAGTCATTCAGTGTGTTTGGACCTGAAATTTTCCCATGTGCAAAATAGGGTGATGAATCATACCTGCCTCTTAGTGTTCTGAGGACTACATAAGACAGTGTGTGAAAAAGGTGAGCCGAGTGCTGTTCTGAGTTAGGTGCTCAGTGAAGATGTATAACAATGGTAATATCCCCTAAACGCCAATTTGAGCTCCACTTTCCTCTGTTATAAATAGGTCCGGCAGTACCATGTGGATGAGCTTGTGGGGAGGGTGTGTTAGTTTGCTGGAGCAGCCATAACAAAATACCACTGACTGGGTGGCCTAAATAACAGAAATTTATTGTCACAGTGCTGGAGTTTAGACATCTGAGGTCGAGGTGTCAGCAGGGTCGGTCCTTCTGCCTCCTCTCTCCTTGGCTTGTAGACGTGTGTCGTCACCCCATGTCATCACAGGGTCTGCCCCCGTGTCTGTGTCCTCATCTTCTCTTCCTATAAATACATGAGTTAGATTAGATTAGGGCCCAACCTACTGACCTCTTTTAACTTAACAACCTCAATAAAGACCCTCCCTACAAATACAGCCACGGGCTGAGGGACTGGGGTTAGGACTTAAACCACAGTTTGGGGGTGGGGGACACAGTTCAGGCTGCAACGGGGTGGCTGCGCCTGTGAGCCCTCCGAAATTGTACTTAGGACTTTGAGTGTGTTATACATGTTAATTTGGGGGGTGGGAATGTGTATTAGGATCCACTTCCCCTACAATTGACAGAAAGCCTAAAATAAAAGATTGTACAAAATGAATAGACTTCACTTTTTAGAAGTTTTAAATTTACAGAAAAATTGCAAAGACAGTGCAGAAGCCCTGCCATTAACACCTTGCATTACTAAGGTCTATTTATTGTAGTGTGTCTTTTTTAATCCCTTTACTTTTTTTTAAAATTCCTGATTCTTATTTTATTTTTAATTTATTTATCTTAAGAGGGAAAGGGAAGGAGAGAGGGAGAGAAATATCAATGTATGGTTGCCTTTCATGTGTCCCCTGCCGGGAACTGGTCTGCAACCCAGGCATGTGCCCTGACTGGGAATTGAACTGCGATCCTCTGGTTCACAGGCCCGAGTTCAGTCCACTGAGCTACACCAGCCAGGGCTAATCCCTTTACTTTTAAATCTATGTGGATCTTCATATTTAAAGTGGATTTTTTAATTGAGTTTATTGGGGTGACATTGCTTAATAAAATTATATAGGTTTCAGATGTACAATTCTGTATACATCTGTACACTGTATTGTGTGTTCACCCAAAGTCAAGTCTCCTTCCATCACCATTTATCCCCCCTATATAAAGTAGATTTCTTCTAGAAACATATATTTGAGACTTTTGTTTTAATCCCCTCTGATGGTCTCTGTCTCTTAGTTGATGTACTTAGAGAGGGAAAGGGAGGGAGAAAGAGGGGAGAGAAACATCAATGTGAGAGAGGAACATTGATCAGTTGCCTCTCATATGCACCTGGACCTGGGACCAAACCCACAACCCAGTCATGTGCCCTGACCTCTCACCTGGCGGGATGACACCAACCAACTGAGCCACACTGGTCAGAGCCGACACTCTTCCTTCCTTTATGTGGGTACTAGTTTCTGACATGTCATTTCTGAAGAACTAGTTTCTGACTTATGTCATTTCATTCTTTCTGAAGAACTTGTTTTAACATTTTGTAAGCCAGGTCTATTGGCTACACTGTCCTTCAGTTTTTGTTTGTTTGAGATATATTTATACCTTATTTTTGAAAGATAATTTTTTTTGAATATAGGATTTTTTAAAATACATTTTCTTGATTATGCTATTACAGTTGTCCCATTTCCCCCCTTTCATTCTTCTTCACCCTGCACACCCCTTCCCACCCATATTCCCCACCTTTAGTTCATGTCCCTGTCTCATAAATTCTTTTGCTTCTACATTTCCCATACAATTCTTGCTTTCCCCCTGTCTATTTTTTATCTACCATTTATGCTATTTATTCTCTGCACCTTTTTGCCCTCTTTCCTCCTCCCACTCTGTTGTTAACCCTCCATGTGATCTCCATTTCTGTGCTTCTGTTCCTGTTCTAGTTGTTTGCTTAGTTTGTTTTTGTTTTTATTTTAGGTGTGGTTGTTAATAATTGTGAGTTTGCTGTCATTTTATTATACATGTTTTTATCATCTTTTTCTTAGATAAGTCCCTTTAACATTTCATAAAATAAGGGCTTGGTGATGATGAACTCCTTCAACTTGACCTTATCTGAGAAGTAGGCCTTCCATTCTAAATGAAAGCTTTGCTGGATAAAGCAATCTTGAATGTAGGTCCTTGCCTTTCATGACTTGGAATACTTCTTTCCAGCCCCTTCTTACCTGTAAGGTCTCTTTTGAGAAATCAGCTGACAGTCTGATGGGAACTCCTTTGTAGGTGACTGTCTCTTGATCTCTTGCTGCTTCTAGGATTCTCTCCTTATTTTTAATCTTGGCTAATGTAATTATGATGTGCCTTGGTGTGTTCCTCCATGGGCGCACCTTCTTTGGGACTCCCTGAGCTTCCTGGACTTCCTGGAAGTCTATTTCCTTTGCCAGATTGGGGAAGTTCTCCTTTATTATTTGTTCAAATAAGTTTTCCACTTGTTGCTCTTCTTTTTCCCCTTCTGGTACCTCTGTAATTCGGATGTTGGAATGTTTAAAGACGTCCTGGAGGTTCCTAAGCCTCTTCTCATTTTTTTGAATTCTTGTTTCTTTATTCTTTTCTGTTTGGTTGTTTCTTTCTTCCTTCTGGTCCATTCCATTGATCTGAGTACTAGTTTTCTTCCCATCACTTTGGTTCCCTGTAAATTTTCCTTCATTTCACCTAGTGTAGTCTTCATTTTTTCATCTAATTTGTGACCAACATCAACTAGTTCTGTGAGCATCCTGATCACCAGTGTTTTGAACTGTGCATCTGATAGGTTGGCTGTCTCTTTGTTGCTTAGTTGTATTTGCTCCGAGGCTTTGATCTGTTCTTCCATTTGGGCCATTTTTTGGATATAGGATTCTAGATTGATGGATTATATTTTTTTCAACACTTAAAATATTTCATGTCCTTCTCTTCTTGCTTGTATCTAAGAAGTCCAGTGTCATTCTTATCCATGTTCTTCTCTGAGTAAGTTATTTTTTTCTGGATTTTTGGGAAGGTTTTTGGTTTGTTTTTTGACAAAAAAAATTTTCTGTGTTTTGAATATGTTGTGGTGTTTTCCTACTTGGTGTTCTCTGAGCTTCCTAGATCTGTGCTTTGGTGTCTGTCATGACTTCTGGAAAATACTCAGCCATTATTTTTCAAAGTATTTCTTCTCCTTTCTCTTTACTTTAGTCGGCATTCCTGTTACATGTATGTTACACCTTTTGCATTTGTCCACAGTTCTTGGATATTTCTTTTCCTTCTGGGTTTCCCCCAGCATTCTTTTTGCTCTTTGAATTTCAGTTTGGGAATTTTAGTAGACATATTTAAGCTAGCTGATTCTCTTCTTAAGTCAAGTCTACTGATGAGCCTGTCAAAGGCATTCTCATTTCCTTTACAGTATTTTTAGTTTCTAGCATTTCCTTTTAATCCTTTCTTAGAGAGCATCCTTCTCTCTGCTCACTTATTCTTTCTTGCTTTTTCCATTAGTGCTCTTAGTCTTTTAATCATAGTTATTTTAAATTCCCTATCTGATTATTCCAAAATCTGTATCATACCCAAGCCTAGTTCTGATGATTGCTTTGTCTGTTCACACTTTTCAGCATCCCTGGTAGTTTTTTGTTGTTGTTGTTGTTGGAAGCCAGATAGTATGTACCAGGGAATAGGAACTGAGGTAAATTGGCTTTTAGTGTGAGATTCTATGGCTGGGACCTGGGCTGTGTTTAATGTCAACGCCATAGCTGTAGGTGTCAGAGATTTCAGATTTCATCTAGTGTCTTCTCGCCCTTCCCTGTTCTCTTTGAGTTTCCCTATGAAGTCCTTACACAGGGAAGAGTTGTGTCTTGCAGCTTTGTTAGTTATAATCTACTATTATTATACTGGAGCCCTGCTGATGTGGTGGTACAGAGGTGATCAAAATGATCGAATCTCAGCCTTTGAGTGGCCTGACACCCTAGGCTATGACCTTCAAAGTGTTCTCAGGTGAGACAGGAGGGTATAGATTGCTGGAGAGCTCATATTTGTTCTGCTAGGTCAGCCAAGGCTCTGGAAAAGTCTTATTTCTTGAGCACATTCTTTGTTTTGGAGGATGCACTGGGTATATTTTTAGGTGGTTGCTTTTCCTCTCCTTCCCCAAACAGAAGGGGCTTTTTCTTGCAGCTGCAAGAACCTGGTCAGGTTTCTGGAGGTGAAACCCATGAAAACCTCTTAAGACCAGCCACCAGAAGTTCTTACTCTCCAGCTAGTCCACCCATATCCTTTAGCAATTTGTCAAAGTTATGACTCCAGCACCTTCTGTGTAAGGTGACACGATCTTGGCCATGGTCCTGTCAGTCTGCCTGTCTTTGTAGTTTTCAGGTTGAGGTTTTCCCTGTCACCTCACTCCTCTGATGGAGCTAAGTTGTTGATTTGTAGTTAGTTTGGTTCAGCTTTTTTCCTATTAGGAGGGGGTGGTGGTGATGACTTCTAAGGTCTTTACATGTCCAAGTGGAAACCAGAAGTCAAGAGGCAATTTCAAAAAGGTAGTTTAGCCCTGGCTGGCGTAGCTCAGTGGATTGAGTGCAGGCCTGTGAAGCAAAGGATTGTGGTTCGACACCCAGTCAGGGCAACATGCCTGGGTTGCAGGCCAGTTCCCAGCAGGGGATGCACAGAGGCAACCATACACTGATACTTCTTTTCCTCTTTCCTTCCCTTCCCGTCTAAAAATAAATAAGTAAAAAAACTCTTTTAAAAAAAGGAAGTTTATTTTTCTTTCACAAAAATGTAGCCAGACCAGGGCAGGTAGGGCAGTTCTGTGATTATCTGAGACCCAGGGGACTTTTATTTTGGCACTTTGTGGTCCTCAAAATGCAGCTGGTGTTTGGAAATGGCTTTTCCATCACATGGTATTCCAACTGTTCTGTGGGAAGGGAGAAGGGCAGAGCCCTTTTCTTTAAGATACCCTTGTTCTTTAAGGATATTTCTTTGAGACTGCTCTCCTTACCTGAGTTCAGGAGAATGAATTCAGATTCTTCTGGACCCTGAGTTCACATGGCTACCCCGGCTGCAGCGGAGGGTGGGAGATGCAGCTGTAACTCAGTGTATCACTGAAGAATGGAATGGGCAGCAATTAGCAGTCTCTTCCACAACAGCATTCCAGAGGTTTCCTCAGATTGTCAAAGTTGTCTATGACATACAGTGGCTTGAAAAACTCTGCTCTGCAGAGCGGCTGAGAGTCCGGGTCATGGGTGTCAGCACCTTGCTGGCACTGAGGTCAGTGTACCCAGAATACTTAGCTTAAGCAGAATCCCATTCACTTCACTCACCCTTTCTGAAGGCTTGCTCTGGGCCAGACATTGAACTGGTAATAACCCTGTCCCAACATGCCCTCAAAGTATGACTTTTCTCTCCCGGCAGCTTGCCCAGACATCAGCTTGTCTGTGGAGAAAGCCAAGGTGAAAGATAATGACTACCAACGACTCCTGTGTAAGTCACGTGGGTTCTACCCAAACCACATTAACATAACGTGGTGTGAATGGAACCAGGAGTATTCCCAGTGTCTGAACATTTCTGAGAACATCACCACTAATGCTGCCATTGAGAATGACAACAAAACATTTAGTGTCAGTAGCTATTTGATGCCGAAGCACTCTCCGGAGCACGGTGGGACCTACCAGTGTATGGTACAGCACATGCCCTTGTGCACCCCCCAGAAGAAGAACATCACCCTGCCTGAGAACGGTAAGCATTTTCCTAGACATTTCCCCTGCTCTTCCCCTTGAGGGGGTATAATGTAAAACTCAAGTTCGCAGTCAGTCTAGGCCAAGATGAGGGCCACTGGGGAAGGAGGAAAAGGCTGGTTTGTCCTAGCTCAGCCCCAGAGTCAGCAGTCCAGACTAGATTCCCTAAGCCAGGGCGGCGGTCTCTAAGTGGAGAGTAGTAACAGTAGTCCTCAGGGTTAGCTTATGGCAGCTTAAGTGATCTGGGAGGTCTATCTATATGACCTGGAATGGGAAGCTGCTAGGAGAAAGGGGATGGCACCCTGCCCAGGTCCCCTGAGGATAAGGGTCTGTCAGGGGCCAGAGACTCAGCTCTGCCAGCAACTCTTCTGGTCAGACTCCCAGCTCACCGCAAACTGTTGGCTGGTAGAGGCTGCAACAGTACTTCTGTGCCCAGGATGGGGAGTCCTGCAGATGTCAAGGGCTTTCCCCAGGGACATAGATGCTTTGCTTAAGATAATACAGCTCCCTACAGAGCCCCTCCTTCTGGTGGGGTGGGGTTCATTGAGCTCATATCCTGGCTTCTGTGGTCATGGCTCTGGTCCTAGTGGGGGAGATCCTGTGGTCCAATGCATCAGCCTGGAGCTGGGAGGTGTTAGGAGGGCAGGGGCTGATTGGCTGTGCCAGGTGGGGCCTGGGGTGGCCCTGGGGGGAGAGAAGGGCCAGGATGTGTGTGTGGTGTGTGCAGGGATATGTGCAAGGTATGTGTGGAGCAAGGGGAGTGTGGAATTGAAATATGCCCTGTGCATATAAGAGGTCTATCTTGGTGATTTGTGTGTGCCTTTGGGCCGCTGTAACAGGCTAACAGACTTGGTGGCTTATAAACAACAGCTTTATTTCTCACAGTTCTGGAGGCCGGAAGTCTGAGATTGATTTGCCAGCATGGTGGGTGGGGGCTTTCTTCTGGAGCAGATTTCTTGTGGTGTCCTCATGCGTTGGGAGGGGTGAGAGATCTCTCTAAGACCTCTTTTATGAGGACACTAATTTTATTCATGAGGGTTCCATCCTCATGACCTCTGACCTCCCAGAAATCCCACCTCCACATACCATTACATGGGTTATTAGGAATTCAACATATGAATTTTTGTGGGCGGGGCACAGACATTCAATACATAGCAGTAATGTAAGATGGTATAGTGGTGTGGAAGCTCTGAAAATGTGCATGGTATATTTGTGGTACGTGGTGCTCGACATTGCCATGTATGTCTGGCAGGTGCTGAACACACTGACGTGTGGAAGAGTACGTGATAGGAATGACAAGACGTGTGCCGGAGGAGTGAATGGTGGTCATATCTCTGACAGAGAAATGACACACACCACACAGACCTTAGCAGCGGTTGTGTGGTCATTTTGGCCCCTGCCAGTTGGTTCTCTCTTAAGTTCGGCTTCCTCTTTCTTTCTGCAGGGTCTGAGTCAAAAAGTGACTTATGGAAGAATCCCCTGAAGTATCTCGGAAGCGCTCTCTGCTTTTTGGCACTACTGATTGCAGCAGCAATTTTCCTTCGGAAGAGGTAAGGGGGTGCTAAAGCAAAGTTGAGCCCTGTGTTTTGGAATTGGTTCTGGGAGTTCAGGGAGCATGGCCAGCAGCTGATGTTGGAGAGTTCGCAGGGTCCATGCTGGGGGATCCCGTGTGGTGTGTTTGTGGTGTGTGGCTTTTCCTGATGTGCTGAGGAAGAACTTTGTCATCAGATCTGCGTGCGTGTGGTAGCTTGTCACTCTGGGGAGATGCGTGGAAAAGCCCCTCTGCCTCTTCATAACACAACTCTCAGTGGGAACCAAACCTCACGGTGTCAGAACGGAGCAGGCCTTTGAAGCACATATGGGCTGCACTGCTGTTCTCACACGTGGAAACCACAGCTCAGAGAGGGGGCATCCCTTCCTTCGGGTGCTCAGATTTTGTGAATAGCTCAATGGGATGACTTTCAACCAGACTTCACCTTTAAACCAAGAATTTCTAACTCTCAGGGGGGGTTTCCAAACATGTTTATTCCTAACTGTGGTCCAAATAGCAAATAAAACAGCTCAAGAGACCCAAGAGACCAATGTAAACATGTTGGTTAAAACAGTTCTATGTTTTTTCCTTAGGACTTTATGTATTTATTTTTGGAGAGAAGGAAAAGGAGGGAGAAAGAGAGGGAGAGAAACATTAATGTGTGATAAAAACCTTAATTAGTTGCCTCCTGCATGCCCCCAGCTGGGGACCTGGCCTGCAACCCAGGCATGTGCCCTGACCGGGATCCAACCAGCGACCTTTCAGTCCACAGGCTGGCACTTAATCCACTGAGCCACACTAGCCAAGGCTAAAATGGTTCTAGATCATAAAATTGCCCTCAGTTATTTAGGGGCCTGCCAAGGCAGAATCTGTGCAATAGCTAATACATCTCATTAGAAATGCTTTAGGAAAATTAGAATAATCAATTGATTGAGAAAAAAGTCTGTTTCTTTATCTAAACTTAGCCAGTTGATTCATGGGACATAGTCTCTCCTGATTGGACTTCGGTCAACGTGCAAACTGAATATAAAGTGGTTTTCAAATGTGTTGATATTTGTGAATGTTCTCATATTCCTTGCCTTCCTCTGGCCTCTGCTGTCTATGAACTATTGCTGTAAGCAGACCCTTAACTAGGGTATTTATTGAAGAAGAGGCTCCTAAAGCCTTCATTCATGATTGTCCTGGATCCTCAGGCGGTGTGAGCCCCAGTCGTGCAACCCACACTACATCCTTGTCCTTTGCGGTGTAACTTTGCAGTGCCTTCCTGTCATGGGCTGCCCCTCGACACCGGGCTCAACCTGGTGACTTGCTCTGACCAGCGGAAGGAGACTAATGGATTTCCATTTGCTTTCTTTTGTGCTTCCAAGGGTTGTGAGAAGAGGACACTTCCAGGCCGTCCCACCAGAGGATGAGAGACAACAGAGGCTGGAGACCATTCTCTAGGAAGTCCTCAATGACGTGCATAGGTTCTGCGACTTTAAACAGAACGGTGTATAATGAAACTAATTTTGCTATAGGCTAATGACAGAAACAAGAGTTAGGTTCCTACGGCATCTCATCAACATTATAATGAGAACATTGACCAAAACCTTGTTATTTGAGGACCATCAGCTGCAGATTAGATGGTAGCCGCTCAGCTTCCAGACATGTGAGCTGAGATCATCAGTGTCGACCGAGCCAGCTCTTGACTATGACAGAAACATTTTCTAAAAGCCACCGTGTGTTTAGGCTGGCTTGTTATATAGCAAGAGCTAACTGATATAGCTCCTCAGGAACCTGAATTTTGACCAAAAAAGTGTGCTTGCCACAGATATGTGCTGCTGAGACCTCCTTTGCTATGAAGACTGTACGCAGCCAACACACTTCAGCTGTGCCATCTCAGGGACCTGCTGCAGTATTCTAGCTTAGGCCGTGTTCCAGCCAGCGGCTGAACAAAGCAGGCATCTTGGGAGCTCCCTGCCAGAGTGCCTTAGAGTTTCTCAGGGTTGCACTGTGGTCTGAAGCTCTTGCTACCCAGTCCTCCCTCCTTCCTCCCTTCACAGATGTGAGACCTGCCGCCACATGATCCAAAGACGTTCCTCACCTACTTCCGAGGCCTGTTTCCTAGGCACTGCTTCTAGTAACTCTCGTACTTCTAATGCATCTCGGAAGCTGCTTCTCAGAAGACCCAACCCAATGTGAGAAGGGACTGAAGACTCTAGGGAGAGGTGCTTTCATTATGGTGCATTCATGGCGTGTTCAGGTGGAGGAGCCACCAGAACCCTGAGGGCTCTCACACAGTGACAGGCAGCAGAAATCACAAGCTTTCTCAGGGAATGTGTGAGTAGCCGAAATGACTTTCGTCATGACCTACATGGTTTACTCAAGAGCCACCCGTTCAAACTGCCTTCTTGGATACCCTCCGGCCAGTCAGCTTTTTCCAAGAAAAGGGAAAAAAGCAACACTTTCCAAAGAAAGTATACAGATGGCCAACAGGTACATAAAAAGGTGCTCAACATCATTAGTCACCAGGAAAATGCAAATAAGAATAATGAGACATCACCTCACCCCTGTTAGAGTGGCTATGGTTAAAAAATAGACAAGAAATAAAAAGTATTGGCCAGGGTGTGGAGAAGAGGCAGGATGTACTGGTGCAGTGTTGGTGGGAATGTAAAGTGGTGCAGCCATTGCAGAATGTAGCACGGAAGTTCCTCAAAAAAATCAAAGATAGCACTGACACGTGATCCAGACATTCCACCTCTGGGAATTTGCCTGAAGGAAAGGGAAACACTGAAGTTAGTGTGCTTCTATGTTCATTGTAGCATTATTTACGATAGCCGATACATACACGCAACCTACGTGTCCATCGATGGATGAATGGATAAAGAAACTGTGATGTACACACACAGAGTCGTGTACCACTTAACAAAGGGGCTACGTTCTGTGAGATGTGTTGTTAGGCAGTTTCATCGCTGTGTTAACATCACTGAACGTACTTACACAAACCGAGATGGCATTACAGCCTTCCATGCACACAGGCTGTATGCTGCAGCCCGTTGCTCCTGGGCTACGAGCCTCCACAGCACGTTACTGTACTGAATACTGTAGGCAGTTGTAATGCAATGGTCAGTATTGGGGTGTTTCAGCACAGAAAAAGTACGGTAAAAATGTGGTATAAAAGGTAAATAGTACACCTAGACAGGGCAGTTACTACAAATGGAGCTTGCAGAACTGGAAGTTGCTCTGGGTGAGTCTGAATGTGGAGGCCAGGGCATATACAGTGAAGTGTAGACATCACTGTACACTCAGGCTGCACTAAATTTATAAAACAGTATGAGACTGAACGAAGCACAAGAGAAAATGATGCAATCGAGAGAGGTAGTCAACACGATTTGAGGCTGCTCCTAGTATAATACCATACACTATTTACAACAAACTTATTTATTTAATTTATTTTTAGGTCAAGGGACAGGTGGGAGAAAGAGAGGGAGAGAATCAATGTGAAAGAGATATGTCAACCGGTTGCCTGAAGTAAGCACCCTGACCAGGGACTGAACCTGCAACCCAGGCATGTACCCTGCCTGACCGGGAATCAAACTGGTGACCCTTTGCTTTGCTGGACAAGGCCCAACCAACTGAGCCACACTGTCAGGGTGCAAACTCATTTTTATAGCTAGGAAAAGGATACTCTAAAATAGCAATAAAATTATAGCAAAGCAAATCTATGAACCAGTAATAGTATCATTATGAAGTATTATATACTGCACACAATTACATATTTTTTACATGTATTTTTGTATGACTGGTAGGGCGGTAGGTTTGTTTATACCAGCACCACCGCTAACATATGAGCCATGCGTTCTGCTAGGACATTAGGATGCCTGTGACTTCACTAGGTGATAGGAATTTTTTAGCTCCAATGTACGTTCATGGGACTACCACTGTCGAAAGGTACACGGTGACCAGAGTTGTTAATACTGCATGGAATATTTGAAAATTGCTCAAAGGAAATCTTAAAAGTTATCACAAGAAAAAATTTTGGAACTGTATAGACATGGATTTTAATTAGACTTATTGTGGTGATTATTTTGCAATATGTACAAACATCAAATCTTATGTTGTGCACCTGAAACTAATATATGCCAGTTATACCCCAATTTAAAAAAAGGGAGGAGGGTGTTGGGGACCGCTCTGCCTGGTTTCAGGAATTGTAACCATCCCCCATGGCTAAGAATGAGTGAGCGACCTCCGGAATGCTGAGCCACAGGAGACAAAGCTTGTCTCTGGTAGTGAACACTACCTCAGTTTCTTCTCCCTGCCCCCAAAGTATGGTCAGAAGTCAATGACGGGTAAGACTCCTCACAGAGAGAGGGGCAACCTAAGCCAGACTCCATCACTTGGGAGGCCTTCATGGAAGGACTCGGGGGGCTGTGACAAAGAGTAATGGACCCTTGCCCCCCCCCCAGCTATGTGACATAGCCCAAGTCCCCATGTCCTCTGGGAGAAGCGCTTCCTGGCGCTAATCCACTTAAGCCTGAAAAACCCAATGGGGAGGGGTGCAGCTCCTTGCCTTGCTAGAGCGTGTCCTGGGGAAATCTGGCATCAGAAAGAATTCCTAAAAAATCCTGTGAAGCTTGCTTTACTAAGAGTACTTTCATTCATATGTTCACGGTCCAAACAGGAAATGAGTATGTCTCCCAAAGTTTCTGCAACCCCCTTTCGTGACAGACACTGAATCAGACTAAGCCCTCAGATTTCTTTGAAATGTTATCTGCTGTTTGATCCTTGCTGCCTGTATTCCTGTGTATTACAACCCAATAAAAGCCTCTGGAGGAAGGGGCTCAAGGCCTTTTTCCTCTGAGAAACTGGCCACCTCTCCTCCCCAAGCAGATCATGTCTTGGTAGTGTTTACTTTCATCTGTGGCAGTCAGGGGGACTTGAGGGCAAAGTCACCCCCATAGGAGGGGAGAGAAAGCAACAGTTATTGTTGACCTGTTTTCATTGCAAATTCTGTTTCTTCATTCAGTGAGATCAATCTGTACATGTTGATATGTGAACAGAAGTATTCGCTTTTAATTTACACCTGACTTATTCTTTGGTACAAGATAGGTGACTTTCCCCCACCCCCACCCCCAGCCTCATTTTCTGTGACTGAACCCCAGTGGCTGATGCCATTCCTAATTGGATGAAAGTACGGGCACCTCCGCCAGGACAGGCTGACAGGGCTGCGGAGGGTCCCAGGCCCGGGTAACACAGAGTGGTTCTGAACGTGATGATCAGGGGCCTGCCACTGTATTTCTGGACCGTTTTGAGGCAGCTACCAGAAGGTGGAGTAATGGCTCAGAAGCAGTTCTTAGGTCTTAAGTCTCCTGGCTTAGAGTAGCTATTTTCAAGTGCTGTGTGGCACACTGGTGTGCTGCAAGAATTTTTAAAATTTGCAATACCTGACTAGTCAGAGGCTCTGACCTTTTTTCCCTTAGACTGTCAAATAAAAAGATGACAACAGCCAACACAAAAGCCATCTGATAGGAATATTTCAAAATTATACCTATTTTTTTGGTGAGAGTGACAAACAAATTTTTGGTGTATCACAGAATTTTAGTAATTAGTTTATGTGTGCCTTGGGATGAAAAAAGGTTGAAGCTTGCTCAGGGGGATGAAGCAACAGTCCACACGGTTGAACGTCCCACAGACGGTGTTAGAGAGGCCTCTACTGGTGGCATATGGGGATTGCAGCATCAGGGTGGCTGGAGCCTATTTCAAGAACATTAGAGGACCCAATAAATCCCCAAGTGGAGAGTTCGGTAAATCTCAAAGTGGAAAGAGGCAAATGGCAACAGTGGGACTACCGAACAAAGGGAGTAGTCCAAGCTGTTTACTGTGGCTGAAAGAGAATGACACTCTGGAAAAAGTAGTAAGGCAGATGAGATTTTATAAATTTAGTAAAAGACATAATTTTGTAGAGAACCTGATAGAACAGTAAAATAATACAAGGGGAAAATACAATTAGATGGGGAAATCACAAATGAGATGTTGTTAGAGGAAAATGAAAATATCAGTGTAAAATGTGGGGAATGTTAAATGGACATCGTTGGATGATTGGAAGGGAATCTATGCTGTAGAAAAAAAGGCATCAAAGATGCGTAAATAAACTGAGAAATACTAGACTGAGGAATAAGTATGCTGCTCAGACCAAAAGAGAGGCTCAAAAGAGACAGGGTTATGGGATGATTTTTGTTATTCCTCTTCCAAGATGGATAGGAAACCAAGGACCCGGGAGTTTAACAAGAGTCGTAGTCAGAAGTGAGCATTGACTTCTCTGGGTTACTCTGGAGTGACTGCCATTCCCCAATAATAATAGCCTTGTGAGAAAATCTGGATTTGATGAAATAAAGAAAATACAGAGGCAGGGCCCCCCAAAGTCTGGCTTGCTTCACTTGGATGCTGGTGGTCAATGGAGGGGGAGTTTGGGGTGCATTTGTGCTGCCAGGAACGACACCCCTTCAGGAAGGGGAGATGTATGGCTGGAGAAAGCTCCCGGCTACCACGCACCTGGCCCACACTCTGTACACCTTGTGTCTCCCAGGGGAGGACATACATTTGTGTAGTCGCATTGGCCCTTTGCATTAATTTCCCACTCATTGGCATCCTGTGCCCAAGCTGGCCAGCCTGAGTGACCTGTCTTTCACGTCGCTTTAGAGGTGGGCCTGCCCAGAGCGCAATAGAGTAGGTGTAGGCAGCACCTGCTGCCCTTTCCATGAAGATACACCATGCCCTGGGCAGAGGGACCTGGAAGAGAAGATGCCAGTGATTTAGATTCTGGCTCAACAAACCCACTTTCTGGAACGCAGTTCTGATCTGAATCCCACTGTTCTGTCTTTCCCCAGCTTCTCTGAAGCTGGAACAGACCACACATCTGTTGCTCTTCATGCCTGCCCTAGTCTGGAGGCAACATGACTTTGGCATGCAAAACTCGCCCCGGTCCCAAAGTCTTCTGCATGTCCTGGTACAAGATAAAGTGACTGATACCTGGGCCCGGGGGAGACCTCAGAGAGGAGCCCAGAGTCACGCGGGGAGCCATGACTCCTCTACTCCCGGGGGAAAGCTCCTTAGGAAAGTTCTCCCTAAGAAAAACTGTCGGGTAGGAGCTCACATGCAGGATAGAGCCGGGAGGGTACCACCGTGGAGAGCGGGCCCTGTAGAAACTGGGCGAGTCCTCCCTGTAGAAGGGCCACGTGGGGGCCTCCCGGTGACTGGCTGGAGATGCCAAATCCACAGGTGTTACTGCAGCTGAGCCTGTCATCAGTCTCGAGTCTGGGACTCAGGGAGGCCCCAGGGCTTCCAGGTTATACTGTCCCTCTTGCTCTTGATCTCGAGACAACTGTCTGTGGTGGATTTGACACTTTGGAAAGGCGGTACCCTGAGTAAAAGCTGGAGATCAGGTTACTGGGACTGTGCGGGAGTCTGAGACAGACTCAGGACCAAATCCTGGGGCTGCCACATCAAAAGCTGTGAGATTTTAGGAAGTTAACATCACTTCTGATCTTGTTTCCTCATCTACAAACTTGGAGAACAGCGTCTCCATCAGCACTGGACCAACGGTGACCTGAGGTACTGCCCTCCCCTCTCTGGGGGCCTGGAGGACAGCCGAGTCAGCTCACAGGTTGTGGACTCACATGGGCTGCTCTGTCTGCTGTTACGTGATGTCCAATGCTGTCCCGGGCACCAAACTCTCACAGAAGTTCCTGCTGGGCTGAGTAGAGCTCAGGGGAGCTTCCTCAGGTTAGTCCAATGCTTTAAAGCAGGGGTGTCCCTGGATGGAAGGGGCACTATCAGTGGGCAAGAACATTCACAAGGGTCGGGAAAGGCTTGGTCCAGCTTCTCCACACCTGAAACTTTCCAGCTTCTTCCTGAGCTAAATCTTAAGCCTAGGACCAGAGGCCCTGATATTCTGGGATCAAGTGGGTCGTATCTGTGGCCAGCAGGTGGCGCTCAGCCCTCAGTTCTGCCAGTTTGACAAGCTGGAAGGTTACTCTGGATGGGGTCCCAAGGATGGTGCTGCCAAAGGGTTTCACAGGGGGTCTGGCCCTTCCTCTGGCCGTCAGAACAGCCAGTCAAAGTCCCAGAAAGTCTGGGCTGACTCTGAGTAGCTTCTCATTTTTTTCCCTTTAAATCAGAAATGGGTCAGCTCAAAAAGGAAGGGAATCAACGCTGGGAGACTGTGTGGTGCAGGGAGAGGGCAGCTTAGAGCTTGGAACAGAAGCAGCAGCTTCCTGGCTCTGCGCCCCGCCTCTCGAGTCTCCAGGGGCAAACCATCACTGATCCAGCAAAAAGCCCTCTGCAGGCCTCAAACTGTAGCAATAACCCTAGATTGGTGTTTTGTACACCATCTACCCATCCCTCCATCCACACATCCCTCCATCCATGCATCCTTCATTCATTCAGCACTAACTCAGTACCAGGCACGGTGCTTAATCAGGCACAGTCCCTCTCAAGGAGTCACGGGCTCGAAGGTGGGGAGGCAGACCCACAAACATAGACAAAAGTAGAATGCACACACACACAGATAAGGGGTGGGACCGCGTCTTTCCAGAGCAATCAGGGAAGGCTTTGAGAAGTGTCCTTCGGCCTGGACTTTTACGGATTTCAGCAAGCAGAGATGACACCTGGGCAGTCCAGGCAAAGGGAGTATCACAGGCAAAGGCTCAGAGGTTGGAGGTAAATGTTATATGCAAAGAGGGCACAGTAAGGCAGCCAGAGGAGGGGGAAGGGGCACTGTAAGGCTGGAAAGCAGGCAAAGCCCGAAATGGCTGACTGGGTCCTTCTGGCCTTGACCCAGAAGGTAACGGGGAACCACTGCCAGTAGTTGACATGGGAGGGGATGGTCACAAGCCTTTTGAAAATACCCCTGGTGGCGGCATTGCAGATGGACTGAAGGGTGAGATGGAGACAAGAAGACCAAGTAACAGGCGTTGCCACAGCCCCTGTGATTAGCTCAGACAGGACACAGTGAAGGGACAAGACCAGGCATAGACACTTATCACCCTCTCCCTTAACATCTGCTTGGTTAGTTGTCTCATCGTGTGGCTGATTCAACCACAATCACGACAGCATTTACTGAGCACTTATTGTGGACCAGATACTTCTGCATTTTACGTGGATTTTTTACTTACTCCTACAACAGTTCTATGACATAGGCATGATGAGTAGCCCTACATTTTAGATGATGCAACTGAGGCAAAGAGAGGTGAAGTTACTTGACCAAGGTCGTAGAGCTAGAGCCAGGATCTGAACCCAAGCGGCCAGCCTGAGAGCTTATGCTCCAGTCACTTCGCTGATGTGTATCATGTCCCCATGTCTCTGAGCCTCCCAGCTTTCGAGCAGATTCCTGAGCGGAGGCAGAGCTATAAGATGAGTGGGTGTCCAAAGTTGCAATGGCCAGACAGGCTGGCAGGGCTGGGCTGCCTGAGGCAAACGGGGAAATGTCTCCTTGAGCTGGGGAAGATGACCAGCCTCAGAGGTCTTTGCAGGCCTCTGGACTGCAGTCCATGGCACCTCTGGAATGAGAGCTGGCCGCTCCAGCTCCTACCCTCCCTGCCCACTGGCATGCCTCCTGTCTCCCCAGCAAGAACAGGCCAGAGTTTAGGTCATGAAGAAGGGAGGCTTTATTGACAAGGGAGAAGGCAGAATTAGGAGCAAATACACACAACACTGCTCAGGAGTCCAGGCTTGGGGTCAAGCCCACGAGGGCCAACGCCCTCTTCACCTCAGGGACCTTGCTCACCCCCACCACCCTGAGCTTTCCAACATCTCCTATTCTAGCAACCCATGGACCCTCCATGGTCACCCTCTGGACAAAGTGAGTGGCAGCCACTGGTGGGGAGCTAACACCAGAGTTCAGTCCGAGGCCCGCAAAGTACGGTGGGCCCACGACACCCTTCTCCTCGGCCTCTTTCTGTCTGGCATGCCGGTGTCTGCCCCAGCCCACCCCATCCTCTGAGGGTGTGGGACAGAATGGGAATAGGCAGGCTCAGCAGCCCCAGCCCACGGAGCCCTCACGATAAGAGGCTTGGACTGAGGGTGCAGATGCAGAGGGCCCATCTCCCTGTCCCTGTGCCTTAGCAGGACTCAGCAAAGCTAAGCATCCTCATGCCTTTTTCTCCCTGTGGGAGCCTGCCCCTTGGAGGGGGGTCCTGTCTGCCTCAGCCTGTCCCTGTCTGTGCAGGCTCCACACCCCTGATCTCCCAGTTGGAACGTGCTCCCTCACTAACTGCCCTCCCCAGCTGGCCGCGCCCACTCTGTAGCTCATCACGTTTTCAGGGACCAAGGGTGGCTGAGGCCTGACCACAGGCATCTCTTGGGGCCACAGAAATGCAGCAGCAGGTTCGGGACTGTTCTTCCCCAGTCATCTGCCCAGCTTGTGGGCAGTTGATCACGGGACCCCAAAAGTAGCTGGAGCCCCAGCTGTAGGGTCCAGCACCTCCTGCAGTTTCCCCAGCCTTGGGTCCAGGGAGGAGGACCAACCAGTCCTGAGTTGGGTCTGGGAGGAACAGGAACAAAAATAACCCAGTACAGACTCCAACTGAGGCCATAAATAGGCAGTGACAATGCCTTGTAACACCCTGGGCCAGCAGCAGCAGGAAGGCTGAACTGCAGAGGGCCCGGCCTCACACCAGGTCCTGGCCTGGCCGACAGGGCCACGCCATGTCCACTCTACATACCATACCACACTGCCCATGTGCACACATGTGGGGTGGGAGCTCAGGGGACCATGGCTCAGGACAGGGAATCTGGAGAGATGCTAAACCTGGGCTTGGCCTTGGCCATAGCCACACTGCGCTTACGCAGTGGCCCACGGGCCGCAGCGAGGGTCAAGGCGTCCAGCAGGCTGCGGTCCTCATCAAGCTGATGGGCTGTGCAAAGCGGCGTGGGCACTTTGACGGTGTTGCCAAACTTGGAGTAGTCCACGGCGTAGCGGCCATCCTCCTCGGTCACAATGGGTACAAAGCGCTGACCCCACAGGATCTCGTCGGCCAGGTAGGAGGTGCGGGCTTGGGTGGTGATGCCCGTGGTTTCCACCACACCTTCCAGGATGACAATGATCTCGAGGTCCTGGTGGTGGTGCAGGTCACTGGGGGCCAGGTCGTAGAGCGGGCTGTTGGCATCGATGATGTGGTAGATGACGAGGGGAGCCACCAGGAAGATGCTGTTGCCCCCCACACCGTTCTCCATGGGGATGTCCACCTGGTGGAGGGGCACCACCTCGCCCTCGGGGCTGGTGGTCTTGCGCACCACCTGCATTCGGATGGTGGCGCTGATGATCATACTCTTGCGAAGGTCGCCCACGCGCAGCATGAAGCAGAGGCGGCCATGGCGCAGCGCAATGACTGCATGCTTGCTGAAGATGAGGGTCTCGGCCCGCCGGTGGGCCTGGGCGGTCTTCATGAAGATGCAGCCCAGCATGATGGCGTTGATCATGAGCCCCACGATGTTCTGCACAATGAGAATCAGGATGGCCAGTGGGCACTCCTCAGTCACCATGCGCCCGCCGAAGCCAATGGTCACTTGGACCTCGATGGAGAAAAGGAAGGCAGATGAAAAAGAGTTGATGCTGGTGACGCAGGGCACGGTGGTGCCCTCTCCGTGGGCCAGGTCACCGTGGGCGAAGGCGATGAGCCACCAGACCATGGCAAAGAGCAGCCAGCTGCACAGGAAGGACATGGTGAAGATCAGCAGTGTGTGTGGCCACTTGAGGTCCACTAGTGTGGTGAACACGTCCTGCAGGAAGCGGCCCTGCTCCCGGATGTTCTTGTGGGCCACGTTGCAGTTGCCCTTCTTGGACACGAAGCGGGCCTTCCGCTCCCGAGCCCGGTACCGGGGTTCTGCGGGGTCTTCCGCTAGCCGCGTCAGCACATACTCCTCAGGGATGATGCCCTTGCGGGATAACATGGCTCCAGAGACCACCAGGGAGAGGCTTCACTCATGCGGGGCGGGGGGGAGTGCCCTCTGACCAGACTCTGGCCTCACTGTGGAGTTCCCTCCCTGGATACCCTTCCACTCTGGGTCTGCCCTCAATCTACGCAGGCTTCATTTCTGAGATGCCTCCCCAACTAGTCTCATCCTCACCTCCATCCGGCTCCTGCTTCACTTTTTATACTAGCCTCACACCCCAGCCCACCGGCCCATTGCCTAGTGAGCTCCCACCCTGCCAGTTCTCCACGTGGCCCCGGACCTCAGCTCAACACTCCTCACCCGCTGCCCACCCCCGGGCGCCCCCCTGTCTAAGATCCCTTGTCTCCACCGGCATTCCTTCTTAACCCACCTCCTGTATCTTGGAACTTAACACCTCCGGTTATTATCACGACTGACTAGACCTCACGCAACCCCCACCGTATCTTCCACCTCACCCATCTCTGCTCCTGAGCCCCCTCCGCGCTAGTTTCATATCCTGACCACCCCCCAGTCTCACCTCCAGGTGCGCCCACTCTTCCCTACCCCACCCCGCCCCCCGTAGCTCTCGCGGCTCTTCGGATCCCCCCTCCAGCTTTCGTCCTTCTGTCTCCTTGGGGTCCTGCGCCCTCCAGAGTCGCCACCCCACTGGCCCAACTCCAGACCCCCTCGCCCCAGGGTGACCTGCCCGGGATCACTCCCAAGTCGGGTCCTCCTGTCCCCGCGCCGGCCGCACGCACGCCGGCGCCGCACCCCCGCCCCGCGCTCGTCCCGGCCCCGCCTGCTCGTCTCCGCGGCACCTGCTCCTGCTCCTCAAGCCGCAGCTGTCGCCTCCCCGCCTCTTCCTGACGTTGAGCTTGGGGCGGGCTGTCCTCCAGCGCGTCTATCAGTCAGTCGGCGGAGACCGACCGGTGCTAAGTCGGGGTGGAAGACTGAGGGCAAGGGCCGCGGGGCGTGGAGTGGGCGCAGGGGCCGCCAGGGGGAGCCCGACCTGCTCCCGAGCCCAGATTCAAGCCCCGCCTCTCGCGGTCCATCTCCTACTGTCCGCTTTCTCCAGACTCAGCGTGGCCTCGAGGGTTTGCCCAATCAGACGGACCAAAAGAGGTCGCTTCTGCCCACGGACTATGAAATTAGGGCGGGATGGGGGTGAAGGAAGTCGTGACTTGCCCTCCCATTCGGATCGGTGGCCTCTGTCGCCCCGACTCCCCTCCGCAATTTTCCCGTCCTCAGTTGGGGCGCAGAGAAAGGGGGCCTGCGGCGGGCCTGCATAACCAACCCGGTGACAGGGGGAGATTAGGAGGTCCGATGACTTCTTAGCTGTCTGCTTCTCCTCTTTGGAGAATGCTCTTAATCTTTTCTGAGTCATGGATCCTTTGAGAATCTGATGAAATCCTCGGCCTTCCTCCCCAGGGGGGGACGATACCTTAGAAGGTGCAGGAACACAATTTAATGGCCACTACAGGGGATGCCGAATACAACAGCCCAGAAGCCTGGGTGGTTGCATCTTCTCAACCAAGAAGATGCCCCCTTCCCAAACACCACCCCTGCATTTTAAAGAGGGTTTGAGCTACCAGCACTTGCTTTTCACCTCTTTACACCTGCGGCCTGACTTCTTCACCTTTAGATAATGAGAGGCACTTGGGTCCGTGGGGCTCCATTAGGCCCTGCTTGGGCACTGGGGCACCCAAGCTCTTGACCTGGGCATAAGTGTTGTTTCTACTGCAGGCATTAGCTTAGCGTTGCCCTGTGGTTTAGGCCCCAGGTGGGAGGCCAGTCCCCAGTTCTTAGCTGAAAGGGAAAGCCTGCTAGCTCTTTCTTGAGGCACTAATGGCCCCACTCCCTCTCTGGGACTCAGGTCCTTATGGAGGGACCCCTGACCCATGTGTGTCCATTTGTTGGAGTGGGGGCTTGAGGCAAGGGCTGGAAAGTTAAGGACAGTGAGTTTATGGGCCTCCAGGGGACCAAGTGGGACTTCCATATTGAGTTTTCTTCTTTTCCTCCCATACCCACCTGAAGGCAGAACACTGCTGCTCAGAGTGAGCATGGTCTTGGGCTATATTACCAGAGTGCAGTGCCTCGGGTGGGAAGGGGAAAACAAGGGGAGCAGAGTGGGGAGCTCGAGGAGTTAGGGTTACACAGGAAAACTCTGGGGCAACTACCGCTGTTCAGCCGTCAGAAAAAGGAGGCTTGAAGAGCTCCCCAGGGAGTTTGGGCACTGGTACAGAAGCTCCTGGGCCCTGAGTGTAGACCCAGTATACACACTGAGTGGAAGAGAGATGGGCTTTGATTTCACATTTGGAAGAGTCAGTTCTAATAATCAGGGATGACCCACGTCTGCAGGGTATCCAAGTCAAGGTTGGCAGACTATCAAGGGTCTAGAGGGGTTTGTGCCAGGATTGCATTGGGTATCCTTGCAAGACTTGAGTGTGGGCCCTACTCCTGCTAATTCCCTTCAATTCCTTGCCGGGGGCTGGGGCATAGGATCGTGCGGGAATCCTCTTGGCTCTGCTCCTGGGAGGCCCCACAGCGGAGAGAGCTGATGGGCCCCCAGAGGCACCTCAGAACCCTGCCTCTCAGCATAGCCCTGAGGCCTCAGCTACTCCCTGCTCTACGCTTTCCAAGAGGGCCAGCCCATTACCCAGAGGGCGCAGTCTCCTCCCCTGCTCCATCCTGCACCTCCTCATACTCATCTCTTCCAAACACTGCTCTTGTCAAGCTCTGTTCTCACTCAGAAAACTTCTCCACTTCCCTTTTTTTCATGGGCTTATCCTAGACTTTTTGTCCTAGCATTTGAGGCTCTCTGATCTTATGGCCCCCACCCACCATCTATGGGCCCTTTTCTCTAACTCTGCCCCTCCCATGCCCAACTCAAATCCTGCCTCGCCAAGCAGCCTTATAGGTCTGGCTCCTAGAACATTCAGAAAGGTTTATGCTGCACCTCTCTCCAATGACTGGTGGGTTTTACTTATGTTGTAGGTTCCTTACCTGTTGCAGACAAGGGGAACACAGGCCCAAGACTCCTGGGTCTGCACCCCATGGCCTGGTACAGCCACTACTGTAGGCAAAATGTAAATGGTAATAAAATGATATGTAATGAGCACCTGTCATTTCCTGGCTGAGGGCAGGTATGCAGATGGAGTCTGAGGACAGCTGTTGTTTGGGTCTCCCATGTCTGGGCCCCAGCATCTCCATCACCACCTGGCCGACTTGTGGTATGTGCTGTGCTTTCCCTCTGGAGGGCCACCTTCTACTTCTGAATGCCCCACATGAGGGCTGGAGATGGGGACATGGGATCCAGGCCTAGCCAGTTGGTTTGCTCCAGCCCTCTGACCACAGTGACTGGACATGCAGATGTGACCCAAGTCGGTCAACTGAGATTGGCTCCCAAGATTTTTGCCAGAACTATTAGGAAAGAACTTACTTTTTCAAGGGATAGAGAGCAAGCCGGAGCTGCTAGTGGCCATCTGTCACTGGGGAGGGAGAGGAAGAGAGAACCCAGAAATGGAGACACATCCCTGGTGACAAACACCTGGACCAGCCATGCTTGAAGTAGTACCCTCCTGTCCTTCTCACTCACATATGACAATAAACTCATTTTTATTTAAGCCACATGGAATTGGGTTCCTGTCATTGGTGAGGGAAATGTTGCTAATCCACGGTGCTAGGGGCCCCACAATTGTAAGTCCAGGAATTAAAGTAAGAAGGACAGGGACTAAGCTATAAGGACATCTGCTACCTTATCTGATGAGATAATCACAAAAGTGCCATATCTTGTTATGTGTTGCCCCCCAAATCATATATCGAAGCCCTAAATTCATACACTGAAAAGCTCTGCAATGTGACTGTACTGGAGACAGGTCCTAGGAAGAGGTAATTCAGTTAAATGAAGTCATAGGAGTGGGGCCCTAATCCAATATGACTGGGCATCCTAATAAGAAAAGAGAAACACACCACAGATGTGCACACAGAGTCCAGAAAGCCCGTGTGAGGACACAGCTGGGCAGCAGCTGCCTGCCACCAAGGAGAGAGGCCTCAGGGGAAACTAAATCGGCAACGTCTCGATCTTGGACTTGCAGCCTCCGTAACTGTCAGGAATAAATTTCTGTTCTTTAAGCCACGCAGTCCTTGGCTTTTTGTTACCGCAGCCCGAGGACACTAATACAACCCTCATCTGCCCACTTCTGCCCACGCTTCTGCCCACGCTCACACGGCTTCCTCGGTCTGCCTGATGCCGAGGCCACGCTGGCTCCTCTGGACCCGCGGTCCCCCCACCCTCTGCCTACCAGAACCAAGGCCTCTGGTAGGAAATAACCAATCTCTTTATTTACAAGCAATTTACAGTTAGAAAACCCAGGCGGGAGGTGGGGCTGGGAAAGGGCATGGATGGCCCTGGGACTCCAGCAGGTCACTTGTCTGCACGGACGAAGGAGGCAAAGATGCTGTCCTTCCGGCTGAGCAGCTTCTCGGGCGTGTCAAACTCAAGGATGGCACCACGCTTCAGGACAATCACCAGGTCTGCACTCAGGATGGTGTGCACACGGTGCTGGGGGGGGCGGGAGGGGGCTGGTCAGGGCGGCAGGGGGAAAGGGCGAGGCAGCTGAGGGGAAGGCATGTGGCCAGGATGTCCTGCCTCTGTGGTGACTGACCTTTCCCGGGGTGGCTGCGACTCCAAGCCGTTCACCCACTAATGACATCCTCTCTCCTCACCAAGTCTCGCTCTGCCCCAACCCTCAGGCTTCACGTCTCAGAGAGCCCCCACCCCTTCCCTGTGGAGCTGTAATCCTAGCCTAGCTCACAGGGCCTTGGGACAGGGGCAGGCCTTGGGGCTTGGAGAAGGTCTGAGGAAGAGGCAGGTAGAAGTCCTCCCCACGCCAAATCCTGCAACCCAGGGTCCCTGCAAGCCCTCCAGACTCCTTGCCCTGTCCTGCTCCAGGGTCCCCTCTTGAGCCCAAGGGCAGCTCTCTCTCTGGGCGTACCCCTTACATCCCATCAGCGAGCCCCTTACCGCAATGGTGACCACCGTACGGTCTGCGAAGGCCGTCATCACCACCTTCTGGAGGATGTTCTCCTGCCAGGTAGGAGCAGCAGCTATTGGCTCCCTGCCCAGTGCACATGGTCTGGCCCAGCTCTGGGGGATGTGGGGCCCAGGGCTGTGGCCCAGCTCCTATCTGACCCCGATTCTAGCCCCACCCCTCCCTCTATCAGGCCCTAGTCCACATGGGACCAGCCAGGTTCCTAGCATTCAAGGAGCTCAGCTCCGGGCCTGTGTGCTGTGAGCCTGTCTGGGGTGTGCTGGGCGCTGTTAAGTCTCTGTGGATCTGTGCACAGCCTGTGTGTATGTGGGCTATGAACATACCCGAGGACTACCTGGAGTTGGGGTCCCCAGTCCTTTGCCTTTTCTGCCACAAATGATCTTGATGTTCAAGGCAATGTGAATTCCAGGACTACTTTGTGTAGATTTCCCCCTAACACTCGCGCCCTCTTCAAACCCCCACCCCATGGGTGTGCCCAGGACCAACCGTGGCCATGTCGATGGAAGCCGTGGCCTCATCCATGATGAAGATGCTGGTCTTCCTCACGAAGGCCCGCGCCAGGCAGAACAGCTGCCTCTGGCCCTGGCTGAAATTCTCCCCGCCTTCCGTGATGATGGCATCTGAAATCAGCCGCAAGGGGAAGAGCAGGGCTGAGTGAACCCTGTGTTGTGAGCAGAGCAGATAGTGTGGCCTGGGGGGTGTTGGGAGATGTCTGCACAGGAGCAAATA